GTTTTTAACAACATTTCAATATATAATTTACCTAGATGACCCGACAAACAGTGCTTTATCTCCTACCACCACTTACCGGCTCTATTTTTTCTTGTCGGAATAATATCTATCCTATCTGTCAAGTTGGTGTTAACAATATATATTTACAAAAAAAAATCATTAAAATTGGTTAAATGGTTTTGCATATTAGCATGAATAAAAATCGTGACACGAGATTTTGATATATATAAAAATCCCTTGTCACGATTAACAAACTCTTGGCCAAGAACAATTTACGTTTTTTGTGAATTTGGATCCGATAACAAAATTATTCAAAAAGACCGCCATTTTTATTTTCTTTTTTATTTGACCGATTGTTTTCAAAATCGGCATCTGAGAATTCGTATACATTTTAAATATCCGGTATCGGAATTAATCAAAACGACACCCAAACATTAACATATCTTTATGGACTTTCACACATAAGTTGGAAATAAGATTTTTACATAAGCTGAGAAAAACTTCAAAAAGTCCTTCGCACTATGATGACGGCAAAGTTGAAAAACCTTTGTTTTGGCACGAAACGACGCAAGAAAACCTTGATTCGCGCCTTCGGGCAATGTGACGTCTATGTAGTGCCAACCACAAAAAATGTGCACGTCAAAAAATAAAACTCATTTCTAATTTGAACTTTAACGGAAACGAAATAAAATCTTTTTGTCGCAGATATTATTGTTTATGACTTTCTACACATCATTGTCTTTTGATACAAAAGACTGATTGTGGCTACGGAAACCCCGTGAGGAGTTACCAAGCACGCCTTTGTACTTTGTAGTCAACCCTCGTGCGTTAGCTGAAAGCAGATTGTTGATTTTTTTCCTACATTTATTTACACGTCTTCCTACTCTCCTCTGGATAATGCTTTTGTTTAACTCTAAACTCTGAACACGAACACGGTGAAAGTTATATAAAATTAAATTGTTCACAAACACAGAGTACCTCTACGAACTGACCAAAACTGTAATAGGTAAGCACTTGAAACTTTTACATAGAGTCTTTGAAGTCAACTTACCTAAACTAAACCACTTAATTTAAAATACATATGTATATATAAAAGTTAATAAGATATATATGTTCGCTAGCAGAACATTTTTTAAATAACCAATCAAAATACAAAAAATATTTTGATCTTAGTTTTAATTTTTTTTTTAAATTGACAGTAAACTACGACGTTGCCATACTTCGTTATGAACGCTGACATTTTGTAATTCTTTGTTCTTAGACGAACGCTCTTAATTACCATATGCAACAGAGAGAACAAGATGCTAGACGTTGCCTTTTCGTTCTAATGCATGTGTGTGAATAATTAGAATTGTTCTTATAAAAAATATGTTTAATTGTGTGTCAATTAATTAAAAAAAAAGCCGACTAATCCACTGTTCGACATTAAAAAATAGAATAGAAATAATCTTTACTTAAATAAACTTGTTTAAAAGATCTTTTAAACTGTTATTTTTATACTTCTACTACCGAGTTCGGAATGTTCTAATCAGCTTAAAATTACCTGCAACAAACTTTATATTTAGCTACTCTATCCAATTCTTTTTATTTATATATAAGATGACTTTACATTTGTATACGTATTGAGACCATAATTGACATTGAGTTCTAATTATATGGATTATTCAATGTAAAATAAACAAGTAAATATAGGTAGATCAGTCTCCACAAGCAGCACCCGTTCATGAGTATGACGTATAACCTAGACATCAACTATATTTTAGAGATCTCAACGACCTGGCCCCTCTGTTTGGACCTTATAGTCAGTGTTGAGATTTTATTTAACTTTTAAAAATGGAATGTAATTTAATATTTTTTTCTGTTAATTATTATTTTGTTAATAAGGAACGTCATTTTAAAATATGAATATTATTGTACTAGGAAAAATATTATATATCTTTATTTTGTATTGTCTATTTTATTGTTCTATACAACGAACCCTTCACAATGAACATACCTTGCTTAACTACATCACGAGTACAATTTATATCAATACTAAAATATATAATTAAGCAATCCATTTATTACAAAATTCGATTTGTCATTTACAGTCAAATAAAAGTTTTATCTATTTATTACATTTCTCTCTTTATTTTTATTATAGAAAAAAAAGAAAAATCCCGCTAATATATTTAGAGAGTAGGTAAAGGTAAAAAGTAGGTAAGTTTAGTAAAAACTGATATTCTATCATATAACTCATATGAGAGATTTAATATAATTCAAAATGATTCCTACACATAATTATTTTTTATTTCAATATCTATTTGACATTAGTTAACAAAGGTTTTGTGGCCTCTTGCCAAAGTGTTAAAACGTATAAACAAAAAACATTTTTTTTCTGCTCCTACATGTGTGAATACTTGTATATTCATTTCGGAATCAGGGATCTACCATGAAATGAAATTCCGAAATTTCGAACTTAATTTCGTGTTTTTGTTGATACCAAAATGGGCTCAGTAAATGGAGCTTAATATTTTGGTTCCCATAAATCTACCATAAAAGTCCAATGAAACGATATTTTAACATTTTTAAATAGTTTATATTGTGTAATTTTAACATCAAATTTGTATTTCTTCCGGTCCCGAAATTTCTGAAAACATTTTATGGTAGGCCTTCAAGAATCCTTTCTATACGTCATTTCTTAAAACGTCATATAAAACTGTCATGTTTGTCAAAATGACATTATCGTATAATACTGTCATAATAAATTGATTGTGAATTTGTAGAAAAACTTTGTAAACTACATTACTACGTAATTTAGTAGGTAACTAAAAGTTATCTACCCCGCTCCCCTATCTAGTCTATCCGTTTCCGTATAAGATAAAATACCCAAATGAATTTGACCTCGAAACTTAAAAAAATTAAATGTATTGAAAGTAAAACTCACTGTGAATGTATAAAAGTTAATTAATTCGTGATAAAATTTTATAAGATACAATTTTAAAAATTGTATTTAGAACACGTACTACGCGCGAAAGGTAAATGGTTTGCTTTTATATAAATTCGGAACAAACTTACACCTGTACTTTAAAGAACTTATTTACTTCCTTACATACCTATATTCCCTAATAAAATTAAATAAATAACAATTTGTATAGTTAAGAAATGTAGTAAAGTAACAATCTTTAAACACATAAATAAATGTAACCTGTAAAACTGTTCCATTTAAATACGAAATAAATGTAATTTACTGTTTTTTTTTAATGAGTGAAAATAAAATTAAGACTACCTCTGCGCTATCGGTATATACTGGCCAGGGTGGAAGCAAGTCAGTTGGTCAGTAACCGATGACATAGGTGAGGTTTCCATTCTATTTTCACTCATTAAAAAAACTTCTATATAGTCCTCTTTGAGAACCGTTGTGGTTAATTCCTAATGAATTTGCCATAATGGGATAGCTAACCTGACTCCATCCCATACTCAATATCCCGCCAGTATACCAATAGTGCAGGTGGGAGTTACCATTCTATTTTCATTCCATTGTCATCTGTAAAGTACCTATACTCCAATCATATACTATCAAATAACAGTGCTTGGGTATTTATTTGTATAATTATTTATTTTTTGGAAAACATACAGCTGAATTACAGTCAATACATAATCAAATTTATATCTATGTTAAGCCATGAATCATTTTCAAATTTATTACAGTTAGGTAATGAAATTACAAGGTAGGGTGATGTGATGCCTTAACCCTCAAGTATGGCAATGCAAAAGGGTTATCATGAATGTAACAGTCTCATCTGTAATGTCTGTGGTATTTTTTTAATGGATGATAATGATAAATGATAGGTGAAGGTGAAAAGGCAGGTCAGTTAGCCCATCATGATAGTTTCCAGGGTGAACTGCATGGAGATCGACCTGATGGGGTATATTGATAGCAATAGGGACTAACCTCCCCTTGACTAACAATTCCTCCCCCCCCCCCTCGGTCCATGATATTAGACATAATGACAGTCAAAAAGTTTTAATCCCTTGCTATTAATCAAGAAGAAGGATCTGTTGAATAATAACTATCTAGAGTCATACTCTAATTATTTATGTCAGCAATTATTGCAAATATTTTAAATTCAGGAATGCCAGTCTAATTTCGAACTCAATAGGCACTCTTATTCGAAGCATAAATAATTAAATGAAACTGCTTTCTGTGTACACTTTCAGAGTGATACCAATCTGATATCTGTATATTAGGTTCTTCTGGACATTGATGGTGAAAAAAAAGGTCATAACCCATTTCATTAGCCGTCATATCGGTCAGATATCTATTTACGAATATATTAAAATTCTGTTGTTCAATATTATTTTTTGGATAACAGACTTTTAACATAATCATTATTGGACCAATAAATAGGTATTGTAACTAAAATATATTATCGATATAAATAGATATTGCTATATATATATTATCCGTCCCTTTTTGAGTAATTTTTTTATTATTTTTAAAACTAGCAATTTTTATTTTTAAATTACTTTATCTAAATAAAATATGTTATTACTTCTAGTAATGGCTACAGAAGACTTCACCACATTGACGCATGTTTCTCCAGCACTCACCAATGAGAAGCTTAGCAAATCACTTACAGAATGGTTTGGGGAACCAATGGCCTTCACTCGCTGGGAGGTACTGCAGCTATTTATTATCTTGTTATATGCAAAGATATATTAAAAGAAATTTTTTGAGAGTTCTTTTTATAATCTAATCACTCTTAGTTCTCCATACTTTAATCACTTGACAGCTGAAGCCTGACAATGAGGATGCCAGAAGTAAATACAAGATAAGAACTAAAACTCAATCTTGCTGGACTTCCTCCGTTATAACCACATGTGATTATGTTTTCCTTTTCAGCTGATTTCAAAAAGGAGTTTCTTAATTTGCTTGTATTTTTTTTATGTTTATTACCTCGTAACTCCATCAATTGATTTGAAAAATTCTTTTTTTATCAGAAAGGCTATACTTACACAGATCTGCAAGAAATTTTATCAAAATCGGTTCAGTAGTTTTGATATCAAATTGACTGTTCTGCCAGTATCAAAGTCAAGGTTTTTTTTTTGTAATAAAATCTTATTTATTTATTTATTCTTTATTATACACAAAAAATTACAATCATGTAATATATATTAAATAAAGATGTACAACAGGCAAGCTTAACTCTGTAAGAGTTCTTTTCCAGCTAACCCTGTGTGGAAAGGAACATTAATTACCAGCCGACAGTGTGTGTACAATAATACCGCCTATTATTGTATACACACTGTCGGTATAGTTACACACAGTATTGTTGTTTCTATTAAGAAATAATAAATATGTTGACATATATACAAAGTAACTCATATAATTAAAATCAAAATACATACATATCTGTATACAATAATACATATACATATATACATAAACAATAAATAATATATCTTAAATTATTTTCTGAAAATAATATATGAAAAAGAAGTAATCAAAATGATATTTTTGTTCAGTCTATATCAGATATGATGATATAATAATATCAAAAGCATTTTGTAATTCCTCTATAATTCTAATTCTAGAATGAGCTTCAATTCAAAATAGATCATGTGTAGTTGAAATTAAGGTCTCTCTTGAGAAATAACCACTTTTTTTTATGTCAGAACAGTAACAACTCCTAAATTAAATAAATTTTCAACTTCCAGTACTTGAGTGATACGGGTAAAGGCGATTCCTATCTGAGCGAACTTATCAAAATAAAGATTCACGGCACCACCCGAGCTGGCGCATCCAAATATGTACAAGTTATATTAAAAAATATACCCAAAAGTATTTCTCGAAGACTCACATATAGAAGTGACGAGTTTTTCAAAAACGAAATAAATTTCTATGTAAAAGTTTTGCCGGCGTTAATAAAGTTTCAATCGAGCAAATCTGTTTCCGATCCCTTTGACAAGTACGCCAAATTATTTCTATCGTACAGTGATGGTATTAACGACGTTATTTGTCTTGAAGATGCATCCTTGGAGAACTATGGGAGCGCTGTCAGACAAGAAGGGATAGATTACAACCATTGCAAGATCACTTTCAAGGTGTTAGCACAGTTCCATGCACTGTCCTTCGCAATGAAAGATCAACAACCGGAAGAGTTTGAGAAAATCCGAACGGAAGTCTTCGAGACGTACTACCATGACCGATTAAGGGGCTGGTACACGAAATTCTGGAATCGAATCAGTGGTATAGCCATAGATGCTGTTGAAAAGGAGTACCCTAATTCAATTTACGTGGAAAAAATTAAGAAGTTTGCCGTTCCGGAGCGATACGATGACATGATCGAGGCGGCGACGAATACTCTTGAAACTGGTGTCATATCGCACGGAGACTCTTGGACTAACAACTTCTTGTACAAATATGTTAATAGCACTCCGGTAGATGCTAAAATAATTGACTTTCAGCTCTCGAGGTGTGCATCTCCTGTGTTGGACGTGACTTTCGTGATATACGCATGCACTACCCAGGATATGAGAGACAAATACTACGATGAATTGTTGAAGTATTATTACCAAGTGCTGGCGAAACAAATAAGGGAGTTGGGCAGTGATCCGGATAAACTGTACTCTTATGAAGTTTACATGGCCGAGATAAAGAAGTACTCATACTTTGGACTGGCGTTCAGTTTTGAATCCACTCCGTTTATTATATTAGCGCCTGAGGACGCCGTCAATATGGAAATGAAGGTAAAACTTGTGTATTTTGATAACGTTCCGACTAATAGATTTCTTGGGGGGAAAGGGATTGTTAGTAATGGGATGTAACAGTCCCATTGCCGGCAATATACCCTATTAGGTAGACCTCCACGCGGTCTCCTGGAAACCATTGTGGTTTAATGTGGAATTTATCACAATGGGCTAACTGGCCTGACCTATTATTCCTCACTGGTGCCCCACCTGTGTATACCACAGCACAGCACCGGCGGGGCTATTATTGCATTTTCACCAACTAAAAAAAATAGATTTCTTGTACAATTTGTAATAACGATGATTTTTGTCGGTAGACGAAAGTGTGTTAGATTTTTAGTATTTATTTAATAATCTAATCTTATCAATTGATTAGATACTTGAATACATAAGGCAATTACGTATCTAATCAAATTTGTAGAATATAATGCAAATACTTAAAATGTATGAGTGTCATTCTTATGTCTAAACAAGGTTTCAATGTAGTTTTAGAGGTGAGTAAATATATACAAAATATTTATAGAAGCCACATTTTCAGGAAAAATAGTTTTCAAAAAATACTTTTACTTACCGATTTTAAACTATGGTATCAGTGAGTAACATGGACTATATTTATAATTGGGGTTCTTCAAAAGGGGGGTAAAGAGGTTTCTTCAGGGTCGGCAACGCACTCGTAATACCTCTGGTATTGCAGGTGTTCGTAGGCTACGGTAACCATTTACCATCAGGTGAGCCGTATACTTGTTTGCCACCTCAGTGGTATAAAAAAAATAAAATTTACAGGGTACAGAGAAATGAACACCTGAGTCCTCAGGAATGACAACGCGTGGGGGGTATCATGGGCGAAACAGTATACTCTTATGTCCATGGTACTGCTCATGTCTATAGGCGACGGTTACGACTTTCCATCAAGTGAGGTGTTAGCACGTTTGCCATTCTAAGTTGAATAAAAAAATGTATTTAATTTTCGAAAAACAGTGCAAAGCGTGGGTGGATTACTAGTATAAGATAAATACTATCATCGAGATAGTATAAGATCATAATGTTTACACTTAAACCTCATTTAATATAGATAGATAGATACTCTTTATTGTTTCCTCCAAAAGATAACAATAGTAAACTTATTATAGATACAAACAATTACAAGAAATAATCACAATGAGAAAACAATGGGCGGCCTTATCGCTTAAAGCGATCTCTTGCAGGCAACCTTTGGATGGAGAGGAGTAATTATAAACAATTTGGCGGGAGGCACGATGAAAAATTTTGTTAGTTCTAGATATGGGAGATGTAATACATATAATAATATAAAAATTATCCCTACTCATTATTATATATATATATATATATACACATACACATATACATACTTTTATTTAATTTATTTTTTCTTTTCTTTTTTGTTGTACACTTAACTGTTATTTGGAAAAAGCAACAGCTATGTTTCTTGACCATTCTTCTCAGTTGAAATTCAATTCTGAACTGGGCGGTAGATTAAAAAAAAATTACTATTGTCAAATGCCTTATTATTAAGTTTACTTGAATATTTTATGTTATTTATTTATATATCTTGCAGGGCGATCAAAAGATGAACATTGATGATGTATGGCAGATCAAGCCGTTCAAAACGAAGGAAGGCAGACTCCGGGAGGCTAACAACGTGGTACATTGCGTGGATAGAGGTTACATATAAAGTTTAAAATATAATATCAATAAAGGCCTGTACAGGTGACGTACAGTTTGCAGACAAAATACCCCTTTATACTACACATGGGTAATATCCGTACCGCTTTGATATCTATATACTGGATTCCTCTAAGACATTCATAACAGAATAAGGTGATTACCCATATCGATATCGCCCATACTGGTTATTATTTATTTATTTAAGGAACACCAACAGCATATTGCATTATAACATATATGTATAACAAACATTAAATACAATACAATATTAATGCACACGCTTATTATAGGTATTCACAGCATTCACTTTAACATAGTTGTACAGTGCGAGAAAATGAAGTAAATAATAAAAACAAACATGTGACCCAAGTTGTGAGCAATATCAGAAAATACGATTATGAGTGAATTGAATTAAAGAATTTTAAAAAATATATATATTATGACAATTAGAGTTAATTTTCATAAAATTGTTGTACAAAGTGCCTCAGCAATTTATTCCTGTAGGAATTCGAATTATCATGCACTATATCAATTTCAGGTAATTTGGCATTAATTTCATTGTATGACGCACTAATCCTGCCCCAGAGGTTGATGCAGTCCTGAGTTTGTTCTGCAGCGTTGTATATCTATGTTAATTTCAATCGGATTAGTAATATCAATGTTATATTGGATAATTGATATTTACATACATACATACATATCTGTCACGCCTGTCTCCCATTAGGGTAGGCAGAAACAATGGAACGCCAAATGCTTCGATATTTAATATATCCATTATTGGACTAAAATATAGATGTAACTACAATATATAGCTATTGATACATGTTATCCACCTTAATTAGTAGGAGACACTGTCAAGCTTGTCTCCGGGACAGGCGGTACAGTGGGGACCTCGTACGGGTAAACGCAATGTACACTTCTGTATTTTCTGATTTTCAACATTCACTGTAGACAACAAAGTATTTTTGTGCATTTTTTATTTTTTTATTTTCTAATGCTTTTATTCTGTAGATTAATTTTATATATGTTTATTTTCATCCCATAATATTACAATGAATATTATGAACCCTATTGGTTGCAATAAATTGTAATAGAATTTAATTTACTGATCTACATTTCATATTATAGTTTACTGTTGTTATATATACTATTATATTAATTATAATGTTAATTACGGACTTTTTCGTCCATTAATATTTATTAGTAACAATGTTCTTAAAACTAATGTTAGTAAATTTACACGCACACGCACACACACGCACACGCACACATGCACGCGCACACAGACACATATACATAGTATAATAATAATAATAATAATTTTTATTTCGGACTTTTTTGGTTCATTAAATATTAATTAGTAACGATATTCTTAAAACTAATGTTAGTAAATTTACACACACACACGCACACACATAATATATTAAATAGTATACAGATAATCACTGCTGTACAATTCCATTGGAAATTGCGCAGCAGTGATTAACGTACACACAGTGCAGCCTGCACGCTATCATACTCAGGATGCTGTCGGTGCTGGCACGTACTCTGCGCACCAGCGATGCACACCTTGCCCGCATCGTGGCATAAAAACAATCTACACGATGCTTGGCGAAAATCCCTGACGCGTTACAGAATCGTGGCAGCCCCATCAACACCCTGAACGCGTTATTTTAAATACCTAGTAAAATTTTGTGATGTTAAATTAGTTAGCTACTTTTTACAAAAAAAAAAACTTTGTCTAGCCAAGCTAGCTCCTGGTGATATTACATACTATATATACATATAGATACTACCTACTATTTATAAATAAATCCTTAGTCTAGCCAAGCTAGCTCTATCCAGTGATACCGTTTTTTTTTTCTTTAATGGATGATAATGAAATGGTAACCCCGCCTGCGCTATCGGTATACGCCAGCGGGGCACCAGTGAGGGACGGTAGGTGACGATGAGAACAGGTCAGTTAGTCCATCGTGGCGAATTTCACTAGAATTAACCACGATGGTTTCCAGGGGAAACCGCGTGGAGGTCGACCTGATAGAGTGTATTGCTAGCAACGGGTCAGTTAGACCCCATTACTAGCAATCCCTTTCCCCCAGTGATATCATGTAGATAAATTGTAAACATAAATGTAAATATATATGTAAAAGCTATATATATAGATAGAGCATCGAGTCTTAAAAACGGGTAAAATTTTTGTCAGCTAATTGTCAAATTAGCTGACTTGTTTTTTTTTTTTATCAGTATTAACATATCCCATACTTACGCATACAATGTATCTTGACGTATTATTTAATATTTATGAAATTGTTGACCTGTTTTTCTCAAAGCATTTGTATGGGAACACTCTGTCTATATAATCTAAGATAATCTAAGGCATAGAATTTATATAATATACTAGCGGCCCGGTACGTGCTTCGCTACGTATACAGTGAAATAATAAAAAAATAAAAAATTTTGCATCAATGTCGCTGACAATTTGCTTTAATCGAAGCACGTCCAAAATGAAAGGATCGCATGAATGACATAACAACATGCTTGTACTGTCAGTACTGAAAAAAAGTTTCAATTTGACAGCACAATCCCCATCCTAAAAAAAGTTTGAATTTGACACAAAAATCCCCATTAACAAAATGATCCGCCATTTATTGAATTCATTTGTTACGAAAAATGTGATAAACGAAGAACCGCTCGACAGATTTTGTGCAAACTTCACATAAACCATCTACTAAATAGTCCGAACAAAGCGTAAACATTTGGTTTGGATAGGTGAGCCCGTTCTTGAGTTATAAAATTACAACGAAAAGTGGCATTAATTTATATATATATATATATAAATCTATATATATATATATATATATATATATATATATATATATATATATATATATATATATATATATATATATATATATATATATATATATATATATATATATATATATATATATATATATATATATATATATATAGATTTATATATTTTTATTATTAAATAATCTTGTATATTGTTTTTATTAAAAAATAACTGTTCATGAAATGAACAAGTCATTAGTATGAAAAAGTTTTGCGTTGATTTATGTATTAATATTATTATTATTGTAAATTAAACATAAATTGTCTACGGTAACATGGCACACAACTCCAAATTATAAATAATTGACATTGACACGAGCAGTCGACTCGTTTGACAAACGACAACAAATGATTAACTAAAATTATTAGAATAGAATAGAAAATATTGTCAGAAAAACAATTACAAAAGGAATTACCAAAATATTAGTACATATATAAGAAGTGTCTCATGTTAGGCAAAAGGTAACCGGCTCAGCTGATGCTGCGAGTGTCCCAGTGCAATGTGTACAGCTGCACAGCGCTGGTTTACAGCCAGTCGCTCTCTTAACAAAATACAATCAAAAATGCAAATGGTTACAACTGCAATTGTCTCTTACAAGAGTTTTTATTGTCTAAGAATGTTATTAAGTACCTAATCTAATATTAAGTGTGAAGATAATATTTGTATTTAGTCATTGGACTTGTTTGATTTAAAATTAAACCTAATAAATGTGAAAGTTTTTTTAGAAAGTATGTATCGATGCTTAACTAAGTCAAAACTACAGCATGGGGTTCTTCAAGAAGGGCGCAAAGAGGTATCGTCAGGGTCGTGCGCGCGTAATACCCCTTGTATTGCAGGTTTCATAGGCTACGGTAACCACTTACCATCAGGTGGGCCGCACGCTTGTTTGCCACCTCAGTGGTATATAAATCGAAACTTCTAAAAAAATTCCACTCCTGATACGAGCTTCCGACAATTTTCTGTCCCCCCCCCCCCCACCCTTAAATACGCTTACATCTGTATTGCTAATATAAAAATCTGTATATATTCTTTATTGCACTTGTAAGTTACATATAAAATAATGCATTTATAAATGTTGTGAGCAAGGGTGGACTTATCTCTGACAGAGATCTCTTCCAGTCAACCCAGTACAGTAAGAAAGCATTTCGTTAGCGGGCAGCTGGATTGTTCATATTCAGTTTACGATTAGCATTTAATATACAGGGTTTTTTTTTTTTTCAAAATGTATTAAAATAATAATTATTTTTAATTATTATGTTTAATAGTATTATTTAGAGTTTATATAGTACGCAAATATTGTTTTAGTAAAATTCATTTATGTTACATAGATTGTGAAATACAAACGTATATCTTTCATAATACCTCTGTCTATGACTTCGAGGGTGAAATCAAAAGCACAATGTTACTATTTACACAACGGATTTACTATTGTATGTCCATATAAAAATATATTTGTTATAATATTGTTTTTTTTTTATAATCTATCTTCTATATAAATAAGATTTAATTGCTAAATGTGATGCTGTGTGCGAAATTCGAGAATGACTGGTGTAAATAAACTTATTTTTTTTATAATGTTCATTTGAAGTCTGTAGATTCTTATGAAGGAAAAGTTGCCCAAAAAAACGTAAAATCCCCATATATTTTCGACAGACTTTGAAAAGAAGGAAATTTTCTACTTGGTTGTTTTTTTTTTACGTTTGTTACCTCATAACTACAGACTTATTTTGTAATATAGAACTTTTTAATTTCTTAAATTCAAATAAATATTTACGTACTGTCACAATGAAGTCTTCAATCGAGTTACTAAATATATTATATAGGAGAATAATTTATAGTAATATTAAAAAAAAAAAAAACAATTTTGCCAGTTTTTTATATAACTGCTGTGACAGTGTTGGACTCTTAATTGAAAATACTCAAAATTTACAATTTTTCGACACTGGTAAGTTAAAAAGAATATTTTTGTTTTTTAGTATGGCAACTCTTAGCCCACTTTCATCTTTTTCGAATCTGTCATGGCATAACGTTAAAAAGTTTATCAATCTCGTAAATTGAAATTTTATCTATAATTTATCGATATTAAAGTGTATAAAATATATTTATTATATCATCATCATCATCATCATATCAGCCTTTAACTGTCCACTGCTAAACATAAGCCTCCCCTTAGGGGGTTTTACCGGTAGTTTCCACGCTTGGCAGGCGGATTGGCAAAGGCAGTTGGGATTTGGAGATGTTTTGAGAGGAACGCTGCTGCCCATCCCTCGCCCTCCCTTAATTGCCTCTTATGACACCCACGGGAAAGTAAGGGGTAGCCTATTCTATGTATTATATAGCCAGCCATAGCCACACTGCCATTTTTATCATATATTTTACTAGATTTCCGATGGCAACAATCGTGGTAAGTCTAGATATCAACCTGTAGTACGTAAAAAGCATGTAACTCCTTGTGATTGCATAACATTGCTGCTTCATTGTATAATATGGAGACCCTTCAACTATGTTATTATATTATTATTGTACGTATCTATATGGGTATATCTTTACTGTTAAGTGTGTATATGTATGTATGTATGTGTGTATGTATGTATATATGTGTATGTACGTGTGTATCAGTGCTGTGGCAATTAAATTGCTGCAGCACATGCTGAGTGGTGGCCACGTTGGCAATAAATGTTTTCTTTCTTTCTTTCTAGTATAATAGATAATCAAGATTAAATTGATAAGTCTTTTTGTTATTTTTAGATCTTCCCTTTTATTTTCTAATAAAATTATAAATTTTCAACATACTACACTTTTAAAATACTTTTCTTAATAGAAGTACATTCAGACAGATATATACACCTCTATTTGCTTGCTGTCACCTCAGAATTTTTACCAATTCATACCAATTATGAATTCCGAGTCGGTGTCGGAGGTGTCGTTAAAAGGTATCGACGTAGTCCCGGCTTTCCCTGCTTCCCGGTCTGGCTCGCCTGCGCCCTCTGAAAGGTAATATACATAATACATTAGATGCAGCCCTTCGGCACTTGGTTCTCTCTGCCTACCCCGCAAGCGACTTCACATAAAAGGAGGAAAGGGATTATTAGTAATGGGATCTAACAACCCTGTTGTCCAATCCCATTGCTAGCAATATGGTATATATCAGGTCGACCTCCACGCGGTTTCCCTAGAAATCATCGCGGTTAATTCTTGTCGAATCACGATAGGCCGTCTGACTTGCTTTCATCCTCACCTATCATCTATCACTGGTGCCCCGCCAGCGTAATAATACCAATAGCGTAGGCGGAGTTACCATTCCATTTTCACACATTAAAAAAGTCGGCTGCTGAATTTCAACAATAACTCGTCACAAACTAAAGTCCCACCGCAACCATCTGGATGAGTGGCAGTCCACTACCGTGCGTTTTCAAGCCACTTTCTTCCACGCACAATCACTCTGTGGAATCAACTTCCAGCAGCAGTATTTCCGAACTGATACGATATCGTAACCTTTTTAAAAGGCCGGCAGCACACCTGCAATGCCTCTGGAATTGCGAGTGATCATGAGCGGCGGTAGTCACTTACCATCAGGTGAACTGCATGCTCGTTTGCTCCCGTGTTATAAAAAAAAATGTCGTACCCTCTTTCGGCGGCAGCGGCGTGGTAGTGGGCTTGGTAGAGTTATCATATTCCGTAGTGGTCCAAATATCGTACTCCGGCACCCACATCTTCTCGTCCAGCGGCTCGAACCCGAAATCAGTCATGTACGAGGGTCCCCTGTACTCGACGCGGGTCATGGAGAAGTCCTCGTAATAGGTGCCCTCCTCCCACTTCCACTCTTGGATGTCGAAGAGAGTCATGTTCTTCTGGAAACCCCATGCCACCATCTCGAAGGTGCACCGGTCCGAGAACATCAGGTATACTGATATGTCGAAAGTGGATCCTGGAAATGTTGGTTAAAATATCCTTTTTTAATGAGTGATAATGGAATGGTGACCCTAGCCTGCGTTATCAGTCCAGTGAGAGATGACAAATGCGTATAAAAGCAGTACAGTTAACTCATCGAGACGAATTCAACTAGAATTAACCACGATGCCGTGTGGTCCCTGGATAGAATGACCCCACTTCTTCTTTCCTGTGAATGTACTAAGAGAACGTAATGGTCAAGTGATAGGCAGCAGCGTCTCTCTTTAAACATCACCAAAGTCTGCGAATGCCAACCTGCTTACCAAGTGTGGCATCTAGTAGCAAAAGCCTCCCAATAGGAAGTAACCTATGTTCAATAGTGGACAGTTAACAGCTAATATGGATCAGGAGGGGGGAAAGGTATTGTTAGTAATGGGGTCTAATAGCCCCATTACTAGCAATATACCCTCTCAGGTTGACCTCCACGCGGTTCCCCCTGGAAACCATCATGTTTAATTCTTGTCGAATTCATCATGGTGGGCCAACTAACCTGCTTTCATTCTCACCTATCATCTTCCACTGGTGCCTCGTCGGTGTATACCGATAGTGCGCTGATTACCAATCCATTTTCACACATAAAAAAAAAGAAAAAAAATATGGATCAGGATGATTTCCAGGGAGAACCGCGCAGTCACCCTTTCCCGTGAGTATCGTAAGGGACAGATGGATGACTGAAGGAGGGCGGGGGATGAGTAGCAGTGTCCAGTTTTAAATGTCTCTAAAGCGTGACTGCGGTTACCAATCCGCCTACCAAGCGTGGCGACTACTGCCAAAAATCCCAAGGGGGAGGCTTATGTTTAGAAGTGGACAATTAAAGGCTGATATGATCTTGCGGAAGATAACACCTAGTTCTAGTTTGTCTATTATAGTTCTATAAAGGCAGTCGAAGATTAATGGCTAATGTGGAAGGTTGTGGAACTTCTGGTAGTTATAGTGGTGATCAATCTGCGAGTGTTGGCACTCCACACACATACTAATTGTAGCGGAATTAAAATAATTGTAGTCGCATAACCAGTGTTGGCCGCGTGGTCCTGGTATAGAATAATAGGCCACCCCCTTCCTTTTCCATGAATATCGTAAGTGGCGATTAAGGGAGGGCGAGGGTTGGGCAACAGCGTACTTATTAACACATCTCTAAAGCCTGACCTCTTCAAAACGGCCATACAGCAGTCTATTGTGGAATGCTCTAGCGGTGAACAGAAGTAGATGAAGACATATTGCGAGGACTTCAATCGCGAAGGAGGGCCTCACCGATGATCCACTGTCATTGTGAAAACCACGACTACTCTGTCAAGAGTGTACGACTGAAGAGAGAGAGAGAAAGCCTGATTGCGGTTGCTAATCCATTTGTCAATCATGGTTACTGGCCAAACCCCCCAAGAAGAGGCTTATATTCAGCAGTCGACAGTTAAAGGCTGATAGATGATGATGATGAACCAGTATTGAATGTAACTCACTTTTGTACGCGTGGCACGCGGGCCCGTAGCTCTCCCGCGGGCAGTAGTGCTTCACCCGCATCTCGGAGACGGCTGACGCGTTCACCAGCTCTAAGGTCAGGCACGTGTACTCGATGTTCTCATATATCGTCATCTGTTCTCACAAAAAAACACCGGTCTAGTGTGAGTTTCACTCGCCGAGGGTTCCGTGTACAAAATATAGCTATAATTAGGTTTTAGACTTATGTTTTTTATCTGGGGTGCCCATTAATTGTGTGAGGATTTTATATGAGTAATAATGAAATGGCAACCCTGCTGTGCTATTGGTTTATGCCAGTGGAGCACCAGTAAGGGATATTGTTTTAAATCGGTAATATGTACTGAAATGTTAACCCCGCCTGCGCTATCGGTATACGCTGGCGGGGCACCAGTTAGTGATAAAAAGTGAGGTTAGTTACCCCACCGCAACGAATTCAACGAGAATTAATCACGATGGTCTCCAAGGAAAAACTCGTAGAGGCCGAGCTGACTAGGTATATTGCTAACAATGGGGCGGCTAATCCCCAATACTAAAATCTCAAAAAAGGGATGTTGGGCCAGGATGCTTTTATCAGTTGGCCCATCATAATAAATTTAGCATAAATTAACGGTACTTTCAGAAACGTGGTATATATATATATATATATTGTTCTGACTTTTTTGGGTGATTTTCAACAAGGAATAACTCGGAAAAATGGTCGTATTGTAAATCTAAAAAAAGAATATTGTAGCTCTCAGTGTCTAACTTTCATATGTTACTTCCTCAACTAATACCCTGCTATACATACCGTCAGCATGAGCGGGTACATCATCCCATCATCATCATCATCCATAAAGCAAGAAATATAGTGTGGGCGGTCCTTACGTTGTACGTAAGGAACTGGTACTGGTTGTTGTCGGTCCTGAGCACGATGGCCTCCCGGTACACGAGGTTCCGCTGCTCCTCCGGGTCACAGTCGCCGAAACGCTGCACTACGTGCGTGCCGCCGTCCGCTGGAATTTTTTTTTATAGAGACATAGTTCAAACATTTACACATATGGGTCCTTCACAGTAGCCCGTTTGCAAAAGCTTCAATTACTCGACCAGCTATGGAGAAGATTATGCTTGGGGTTCGTTTGCGTGATAGAATCCGAAATGACGATATCCGCAGAAGAACCAAAGTGACCGATATAGCCCGAAGGATAAGAAAGCTGAAGTGGCAATGGGCTGGTCATATAGCCTGAATAACCGATAACCGATGGGAAAGAACAGTTTTCGAATGGCAACCCTGACGGTCAAACACAACGATTGTCCCCCACTAGATGGACAGACGACTTCAAATGCATTGCAGGGAGTTAGTGGATGCAGGTGGCTCGGGAATACCCCTAATGGCAGTCTATGGGGGATGCGTATGTTCAGCAGTGGACAGTTAATAGCTGATCTGATGAATGATGATGATAAATGTTGGAACTTATTAGAATAAAATATTTTTGTACCTTATTTTCTTTTCTCTATTCTTCTTATTTATTATTAGTTTAATTCTTCTTCTTTCTTGCGATACGTCCCAATTATTATATGGGTTCGGCGTTATATGTTTTTTATCTATATTACAAAAAAAATTGGCTTAGTTTTACGACCGGCCGTCTGTCTGACGTCAATCCTCGTCATTCCTAAACGTCCTCTATAGGAATAGGTATTAGAATCAAGTTTACTTGAATTAAAAATATTATTGTTTTTATGAAAGGTGTAATACTTACATCGCAAGACGTACTTCTGCGGGGACACCTTGGAGATGGTGAGCCGCTGGAACCTGTTGAGGCTGGCCTCCAGCCAGGGGTAGTAGCTCATCATGTCCAGGAAGCGGGAGGGGGCGCCGCAGCCAGGCCCGCGGACGCCCAGCCCCAGCTCACATTACCAGTACACAATTACAAATTAATTTTAATAATTTCTGATTGTATTACACAAAAAAAAATCTAATTGTGTAATCAAATCGGTTTCAGTAGGTTAGTTTTTAAATTTTTTTTTTATACAACTTAGAATGGCAAACAAGCTGACAGCCCACCTAATGGCAAGTGGTAACCGTCGCCTATAGACATGAGCAGTACCATGTGTCAACTTTGATAGGTGGAGCACATCAATGAAAGAAGAGCTTAGATGGAGCCATGGACATAACAGAGTATACAGGCTCAGCCTAGTTCGGTAGCTAGTAGATGTAACTAGGTGTAAAATGTTATTAAATAAAGCATTATCGATTATACTGTTTCGCCCATGATACCCCCCATGCGTTGCCATTCCTGAGGACTCAGATGTTATTCCTCTGTACCCAGTAAATTCACGCCACATCCAACCCTTCAAATCGAAACACAGCCATGCAAACACAACTGTTTCACGGTTGAAACACGAATAGGACAGAAGTACCCGAGCAATCGACTTTTGTACAAATCAAAATAACTAATTTTGCCACAATTGAAGTTAACTTATTTTGTAGAAATTATTTTATTTATCTATTTATTTATACTTTTGCACACATTGGAAAATGTCTACAGGGCGGACTTGATGCCTGATGGCAATCGCTACCAGTCAACTATCAGTCTAATTTTAATACCCTATTTATTTTAAAACCACCCCTGTATTACAACGCATAGACTTTTTTTTTTTGTTTTATTTCATGTAATACAAGAGTAGGTTTTAAAATAGATTGGATTTAAAAAGCAAACAAACTAAAATTTTGGTGTAAAATTGAAAAATTAAAAACAGATAGTTTGAAATGAAATGAAATGAGTTTATTTGCATTGAACAGTTTAAAATTATAACAAGCCACGTGGTATTATGTTGGCACCTGTTTAGTTGCCTTCAAAGATGTAGGCATGCAAATATTTTACATTTTATATAAAAAATCGGTTTTGTATGAGAATCACTAGTTTGGATTAATTTAAATAGATGGCGATGTGGTGACACGAAGTTCATTGGGTCATCTTATATGTGATAAAGATTTAGCTTCGCAAAGACAGCAGCTTTAATCGTAACGGACTAATATGGGAGGTAGGGGGGAAGGGATTGTTAGTAATGAGGTCTAACAGCTCCATTGCTAGCAATATACCCTCTCAGGTCGACCTCCACGCGGCTCCCTCTGGAAACCATCATGGTTAATTCTTGTCGAATTCACCATGGGGGGCCAGCATTCATTCTCACCTATCATCTTCCACTGGTCCCTCGTCGGTGTATACCGATAGTGCAAGCGGGGTTCTTTCCATTTTCATCCATTAAAAAATATATGGGAGCGTTCACGAGTATGACGAATTTCACGTACCAGCTGCCACCGTCCCCAGGCGTCGCGGGCGGTGAGCGCGGCGCCCGCGTCCCACACGCAGGGCCGCTCGTCCTGCACGCACACTGCACATGCAACGTGCGGCGGCCGCATCCGCCGGCTGTACAGCTAGTGAGGCGCACAGGGGGGAAGGAATTGTTTTTTTTTAATCGCTGATGATGGAATAGTAACCTCGCTTACACTAAGGGTATACACTGGCGGGGCACCAGTGACTGATGATAGAGTAGGATGAAAAAACAGGTCAGTTAGCCCATCGTGATGAATACACTTGGAATTCAGCACGATGGTTTCCAGGGGGGACTATATAGAGGTCGACCTGGTTGAATATATTGCTAGCAATGGGGCCCTTAGTCTCCAGTATTAACAATAACCCGGGAAGGGATTGTCAGTAATGCGGACCACCAGTCCCACTGCTAGCCTATCCTATTTGACCCCTACCTCTAGAGATTTATTATAAGTATAGATAATTATCTATACTTATAATAAATCTGTAGAGAGGTCAATTCTGTACATGAAATATATTTCCAAAATAAATATCAGCGGGTGATAAGTGATCGATACTGATGTCAAAAATGCAATCAGTAAAATTTTTGTCTGTCGTTATAGAAACAAAAACTACTAGACGGATTTTAACAAAACTTGGTACAATTATTCTTCATACTCCTGGGCAGGTTATACTATACTTATCATCACGCTACGATCAATAGGAGCAGAGCAGTGAGGGGAAATGTTGAGAAAACGGTAGAAGTTACTCCATTTTTTAAGCTTCCGTCGCGTGTGCAGCCTTAATGGCCACTTTTTAAAATGTAAAAATGTCCACCCGTGCGACGCCGGGACGGGCCGCTAGTAATGTAATATTTGTATTGTATCTCTCTCACTCACATTGGCTGTAATGTAGAAATCCTTACACAAACTGCCCGGCACGTGCCATACGGGGAGCACTTCCTTCTGTAGATTATTGTAATCTGTAACAAAACTATATCTGTAATCTATAGCATAAGAAGGCCGTGTAAGATTCTTAACAATGGAAACCAAGGGCCCTATTGCCGCCCTAGACGGACGTATGTCGACCAAATAGGCGACGTACTGAAGAAGGGCCAAATTAAAAGTACCCGTAACCGGCGAGCGTGTATGAAAAGATTGATGAATGTGGAGGAAGCGAAAGAGGTTTTGTTTGAACCGAAGCATTTGGCGTTCCATTGTTTTTGCCTACCCTAATGGGAGACAGGCGTGACAGATATGTATGTATGTATGTATGGGCCCTATTAAACTAACAATATACTTAACCAGGTCGACCTCCACGTGGTCCCCCTGGAAACCATCGTGCTAAATTCCAAGTGTATTCATCACGATAGGTTAACTGACCTGTCTCTTTATCCTCACGTATCATCATTCACTGGTGCCCCGCCAGTGTATACCGACAGCGCAAGCGAGGTTGTCTTTCCATTTTCATCCATTCAAATCCCAGCCCTCGAGAATAACGACTTAGGTGTGCCATGGGCATCACAGTACATTCTGTGATGTTTACATCTATAGGCGTCGGAGATCACTCCGCGGTTTCAGAGATTCAGAAATGTTTCCTCCATAAATCCTCAGGTTATGGAATGAGTTCCTTGTCGAGGTTTTTCCAAGAGTCTACGACATGGAGTGCTTCAAAAAAGAGATAAAGAGATTTCTTAAGTGTCAAAGCGCGTGTAATAGCCCTGATATTGCAGACGTTCCTAGGCCACGGTAACCGCTTACTGTCAAGTGAATTTGCCACCTCAGTTGTACAAAATGGTGCTTATTTAGTGTTGTAAGTTGCGAAAAACATACCATCTTTGAATTTGACGACGTAAAACTCCGGGTTCCTCAGCATATCGGGCGGGGGACACAGCGGTTTTATATCTTCTGTAACAAAATCAACCGAAATCATAAACGCCAAAGGGAAACTTGGTACAAAACTCGTCTACTTTGATACCTTAATTCCACTCGTATGTGTGGTGTTGACAACATAAATAATAATTTATAAAATATTTTTTACACATGGTAACATCGGTTGCTTCTGTCAACCTAACACACGCCATATCCCACCCTAAACACAACTGAAGTGCAGGGGTACGAAATCTCATTTCATATAATCTATATCATCATCTCTATCATTCAGCCATTATCTGCCGGTTTTGATTCCAAAGTTTGGTTGTGTGTAGGAGAAAATGCCTTGAAAAACGCACGGTGGAGGACCGCCACTCATCCAGAAGGTTGGGATGGAACTTTAGTTTGTGGCGGGTTGTACGATGATGAAACTCAGCAGCAGGTATCAATCCGTACAATTCTGAAATTGATTTCAGCTAATTTCTTTTAGGAGTAATGGAAGAGGAATGTTGCGTGGGTTTGGTTATTTGGAGAGGATGGATAAAAGAAGAATTACGAAAGAGATTTATCGAACAAGAATGAATGGAGATGTCGGTAAGGGCCGCCCTAGACGGACGTATGTCGACCAAATAGGCGACGTGCTGAAGATGGGCCAAATTAAAAGTACCCGTAATCGGCGAGCGTGTATGAAAAGATTGATGAATGTGGAAGAAGCGAAAGAGGTTTGTTTGAATCGAAGAATTTGGCATTCCATTGTTTCTGCCTACCCTAATATGAGATAGGCGTGACAGATATGTATGTATGTATGTATGAGTAGTGGATAGAAGTCAGTGGAGTATACTTACTGTCCCTAACAGGATCTCGCAGTTGTACCAGCGCAACTGTATTGTACGTCTCTCTATATTCAGGGTGCAAGAGGTAGTTACGGACGCGGCGACCATCCGACGACCAGTCCTCGCCCAGAAGCACCCGCGAATTAGTTCTGTACAGCAAACATTGATAATGTTTAATTCGGAATTCAAAATATGAGAATCAAAAATTGTATATTCAAAATATGAGATTTAAAATTCGAATAACGATATTTAAAAATTCTAAATTCAAGATTTTAAATCGAGATTCATAATATGTAATTAAGTGGTCGCCTCGAATTATTTATTTTTGTTTTTATTGTATTAAAATGTGAATAAATATATACAGTTAAACTTTTTTGACACTACATAGACAACTGACTTACTATTATTTTTTTTATACCACTGAGATGGCAAACAAAATAATATTTGTTTGTTTATTTATTACTTCTAAACACGTAAATTGCTTAACCAATCACTATGGAATTTGGTATACACGTACTATATGAGATGGGGAAGGACATAAGTAACTTTTTATCACAGTCAGTGAATCTCGGTTACGCGGACGAAGCCGTAAGTGAAACCAAGTTACATATGTTACAAGAAATCAGTAGATGCTCAGGATCGTTCCTTATAGCAGTCTATAGTGGATGTCTATAGTATTATCTGTGCCTATGATCAGCAATTGCCTCACTCTGCATGTTCTACCGTTTGTACAACGGATTGTGCTCAGAGGAATTGTTCAATATGATGCCCACGGCCACTTTCTACCTCGTACGGCTGGCCATCGACAACCAGTTCATCCTTGATGAAACAGCCTCAATGGTCGCGTACTGCGCGGTTTTAGAGATGTTTCCTCCCACGAACACTCAGGTTGTGGAATGAGCTCTCTGCCGAGGTTTTCCCATGAGACTACAGCATGGGGTTCTTCAAAAGGGGGGTAAAGAGGTTTCTTCAGGGTAACGCAAGCGTAATACCTCTGATATTGCAGGTGTTCATAGGCTACGGTAACCACTTACCATCAGGTGGGCCGTATGCTTGTTCGCCACCTCAGTGGTATAAAAAAATGTGCAAATAATAATTGAAATGATGATCATAAATTGTTGACGTTTACCTAAAATTCTCTTTAGGCATGGGCCCAATGTCCGCGGCGACTGCTATCACGAACTCCTCTTGTATGAGAGCCACTGTTGTCACCGCTCTGCTCTCACCAACGTCGCCATCTGTTTTAAAATTTAACTCATATAATATTAATTGTGTAAAATAAATAAAAGAAATAATTTATTCAAAGAATCATACTAATACTAAACTAATCACACAAAACAAAGAAAAAAAAATTTTTGCAGCGTTGCCATTCCTGAGGACTCAGATGTTATTCCTCTGTATCCAGTAAATTCACGCCATATCCCACCCTTCAAACCGAAACACAGCCATGCAAACACAACTTCACGTCTACTAACTAACTGTCCTATTCGTGTTTCAACTTCACGATTTAAACACGAATGGGACAGATGTGCCTAAGCAAACGTGAATGGCGTGAATTTACAGGGACAGAGGGAGACTTTGTACAAAAGTCGAATGGCAACGCATGGGGGGTATCATGTCCGAAACAGTGGACATAACAGTGAAGCAGTTGTGTTTGATAACTGTGTTGCCATTCCTGAGGACTTATGGCGTGATTCCTCCGTACAGTAAATAACACTATGTCCCACCATTCAAACTGAAACGCAGCCATGCAAACACAACTGCTTTACGGTTGAAACACGAATGGGATGGACAGATGTTTATTTATAACTATTTTTAGTCTACTATTCTTAATCTATATTTATTATGTCTTATAATTTTTGCATTTTTTTAATGTATAAACACTAATTTTATTTATTAAATAATACGTCAAGATACATTTTATAAGTAAATATATACAAAACATATAAAAACTTGGCCCCTTTTTTAGGCTCTATTTAATCTAAGAGAGTAACCTATTCTATGCCGTGATCACTTCATTTAAATGCGGAGCCTAAAATTAATGAATTAATATTACAAATTTAATACTCACAATTAACATAGTAGAGTATCCCCAGCCACGGGTACTCGGTCAACTCGACGTCGCCTTGCCGCACGTGCAGCGTGCGGTCAACCCCGCAATCTATTAGGTCGAGCTCCACGCCATAGGTCATTGACACTGTAAAAATTTAAATTTTTTGGTTCTTTGTAGTATGAACTCGAAATCTACTTAACTTGTGTGTTGTGTGTTCCATTCGTGTTTCTACCGTGAAGCAGTTGTGTTTGCATGGCTGTGTTTCGGTTTGAAGGGTGGGATATGGCGTGAATTTACTGGGTACAGAGGAATGACACCTGAGTCATCAGGAATGGCAACGCATGGGGGGTATCATGGGCAAAACAGTATACTCTGTTATGTCCATGGTACTGCTCATGTCTATGGGCGACGGTTACCACTTTCCATCAGGTGGGCCGTCAGCTTGTTTGCCATTCTAAGTTGTATAAAAAAAAAAAAACTTGTTTTAAAAATACTTTTACCTGTAGAAAATTATATTATCATCGAGTAATCTTATTGGTAGTATAGTTTTTATATACTATGCAACATAGAATGGCAAACAAGCTGACGGTCCACCTGATGGAGAGTGAATCCACCAGAAGGAGACTTTGTACAATAGTCGTATTGCTTGGACACCTCTGTACCATTCGTGTTTCAACCGTAATGCAGTTGTGTTTGCACGGCTGTGTTTCGGTTTGAAGGGTGGGATATGGCGTGAATTTAAAAGGAACAGTGGAATAACACCCGAGTTCTCAGGAATGGCAACGCATGGGGGGTATCATGGGCGAAACAGTATACACCGTTATGTCCATGATACTGCTCATGTCTATAGGCGACGGTTACCACTTTCCATCAGGTGGGCTGTCAGCTTGTTAGCCATTCTAAGTTGTATAAAAAAAAACATCTGACGGAGTTATGAGGTGACAAACATACAAAAAATACAATCTATTGAAGAACCTCCTTTTTGAAGTTGGTTGAAAACAATTGCTCCAAAAATTTTCAAAATACCGTAAACAATAAAGAAGACAAATGAAAAATAACAACTATTCAATAAAAGTGTGATATAGTTAACCAACTTACCTTGAAGGGCAATTCCAATAAACACTTTATACATTGCTATAAATGTACAAATTTTCATTATCGTTCGAAAATAAAATCACAAGTTTATGCACTTTTTTTTTCACTATTAACTGAAGGTTACGCTGGTTTTATTTATAAGTCATTATTACTATTCACATTTTAACCCTTAAAAGCCCGATTTTTTAAATCAAATTAAAAAACATATAAGTGTACCCTTTACTGTGTTTACTAATGGGGAAAAATAGTAAAAAAAAATCAAAACGATATTTTTATATATTTATTTTGAAAAAAAAAAAAAACATTAGGTAACATGTAAACTAAATAATGTAAAATGTAAATATTACAATAAAATCGATTGTAGGCGCCCAATGCGATTTATAACCACGGTATCAAGTTGCCAGTGGTTGACACGCTTGCCAGGCGATTTGGCAACCGCAGTTAGGCTTTAGAGATGTTCTAAGAGGGACGCTACTGCCCTCGTGTTAGTCGCCTACGATACTCATGGGAAACGAGTGGCTTATTCTGTACAGGGACTTGCACGACCACAAATACTTGTGTTGAATGATAAATGTTCAAACGAGATATAAAAAAAAAAGAAATCTTGACATTTCTATGATGTATTTATAAATATTATTAATTATATTATGTGTTTGCGCCTTTCCCTTTTGTGTGTATAAATTTATGGGTGCAGGAACTCTTCAATAACTCGTTTATTGTTACTTTTGTGAAATATGAGTTTATTATAAGAAATATTATTATGATCAATCGTTTGCTAATTATAGAGAGCGAGAGAGTGAAGTTCATGTCTATCACCGCAGTAGCAGACCGTCGAAGTCTCACTTCACTCCGTTGACGTTTTATCCATTTTACTCAATAGATGGCACCAACAACAATGTATTTGTATTTGTTACTTGTAAAAATACAAATACAATGTCAACACAATGCTGTATTGTAGCGAATAAAAATAAATTAAAATTGATAACTTGTTATAATAGATACCTATCAAGTATTACGACACACACTCAACGGCGATCGGATCGGCCCACCTAGTACGACGCAAGAAGGTGCGCTACCGAGAAAGACACCTGCGTCGAGTCAGCATTTCAATTCCCACACCAAAAATACCCATTTCCTTTATGTTTGATTCGATATAACTTCACTTACGGATCACACATCGATCTGAACACACTTATTATTGTAATAATTAATTTTAGAATTAAATTTAGTTATATTTATAAAATTTGATTTTTTTTGGGTCTTCCGCCAGCTACTTCAATAACTAACTATTGCAACTGTAGAGGAATGTCTATATTTACATAACATTACGTGTATTTTATTAATACTGATGTCCGATTGTTTTTATGTTATGGAATGCTTTTCCTGCAGTACTGGAATAACATGGTCATGCATTTTGAACAAAGATGCAGTTTGAAAACATTATTGTAATGTTTGACACTGTATTTGCGAATCTTTAAATAAACTAGGTCAACAATGATGTATAAGTTAATATTAATAACTTAATAATGCTCAAAGTTTTAGTAATTTGCCATCTGGTGACACTGCACAGCACCCACTTCCAAATTAACTTAGAAAAGTTCATTTCGGAACCTGTTATTATATATATATATATATATATTATAAATCGCAAGCCTTTACAGAAATAGTACCTACATACCTGCATCTTTATTGCCGACGTTTCGACATGGATTGCACCACGTCGTGGTCATGACAGTCCTGTCGTGTCTTTTACATCGAGTTAAGTGCCGATTGTATATTAAAAATATGTGTAAACAACGTGAAAGTTTAAAATTAACTAGTCACCAGTGGACAGTTAACAACTCATGATAACGATGATGTGATGAACATATATGGATCTCTGTGATAAGAGGTTACTAATAAAACCATACATAATTGAAAAAAAAAATGCTAACCGCGAGTTTAAAATTATAGTAACATTTCTATCTGGAAAATTCAGAGAAATGGACAAAGAAATTAGTACAACAGAAATAAAAAAACAATTGTTTCAGATTACTTTTATATTATCATTTCAAATCATGTACTCTCTTACTGTTTACTACCACCATAACTATATGACAGTGAGTCAATATTCAAAATTGGTATGTATATTCCAAAGTTCATACTAAAAAAACAATCATACATAAAAAATATTTCGTCTACCCACATATTGGACTAACTCACGCACTTCTCAAGCCAGTAACCTTTCTGTATGCACTAAAATGTTCTAGATATTGGTATATGGTGTCTATGGGAGCATAAATTTCGTTCATCCTGCTGAGGAGATGCTGAGGTGGCTGCACAGTTATTGAGGGTCCAAGTAGACCTTGCAGGAACTCTCGGAGCAAACCCCACACTGCATTTGCCATGACACACGGCCGATATTCAACCTGAAAGAGAAAACAATGGTTTTTAAACAACTATCAAAAGAAAGTAGTCAATTCATCTGATTTTATTTTACGCAATTCTGAAATAATATTCATAATTTTTTTGTAAAGTGCTAATTTGCAACAAATCTTAAAGGTATGGTAGGACCTACTTATGACAGTACAGAATCCTAAAAATGCAAATTGTTTTTTTTTTCTTTTTTTTCTTTGATTTAAAAAAACACATAATTTCATAATTTTTAAATGTTAGTAGTTTCATAATCCGGCACAAAGGACTAAAATGAAAGAATCGGTCAACTGCACAATTCTGTAAGGTCCTTAAATAAAATGGCGGATGTCACAAAACATCCAGTTAAATAAAGATTCCCCATGTGATGATAGAGTACAAGTGTTTCTAAAAATAAAATATATTGCCAAGATATTGAGCTTCATATCTACACTAATACTATAAAGATGAAAGGTTTGATTGTTTGTTTGTAATGGATACACTTCTCAACTGATTTTAAAATTTCTTTCTCCTATATATAGAAAGCTACTTATCTTTAATATGTATATATTTATAATCTATATATTTTTATTTATGGTTATTCACACATTCACACACACATTCGCGCACACGCACATTCACACACACGCACGCGCGCGCACGCACGCACGCACGCACGCACGCACGCACGCACGCACACACACAATTTCACTGAACCCATAAATTATTGTTTCTCTAAAATTATGGGCTCCATTGTAATTTTTGTTTTTGTATTTGTTACTTCTCTGTTTCATATTGTTTCACAAAATATGTAAAACAACAACATATGGAAGAGGGCACTAACTCCTGAAACACAGGTTCTACCTCGGGAGTTAGGGACTTAAAACTATATTGTACCAAAGAGTGAAATAAAGATTATTTATTTATATTTATTTATTGTATAAAATTTGCAATTACCTCAATTAATATTCCTTTAAAATTCTGATTCATAGTCACCGAGCCAAACTTCACACAAAAATCTCCAAGCTCAAACCTGGGCCCTTTGCTCTCTATTTTAGTTTGTTTCTTCGATGTGTAGTGCTGGGAAAGCTTCATCATCAGCAAGTCGAAGAGACCATCGGCAATGACATGGATGTTCTTTGTACCACTCTCAAGGATTGAAAACACAGAAGCTGGCTGTTCAGAGTTGTGCAGAATGTGGACTGTTTTTGTTGATCCTGTAAAAGGAAAATGACATATTAATAAAAACTGGAGAGAAGGGATTAATAGTGATGGAAACTTCATTCAAACCATTCTTTGGAATCAACTTCCAGCAGCAGTATTTCTGAACTGATACGACAACATAACCTTCAAGAGTATATTCCTTTTTAAAAGGCCGGCAGCACACCTGCAATGCCGCCGATGTTGTAGGTGATCATGGGTGGTGGTAGTCACTTACCAGGTGAGCCGCATGCTTGTTTGCCCCCTTTTCATAAAAGTTTCTTCTTCTTCTACTTTAATATATATGGCTGCCACTAATTGATTGTTGGTGATTTTTGCCAATGCCATGGTTGGATGTTATCTAGTAGGATTATTAGGGAGTATATTTGAGCATCAAATATATAAAAATAAATTATAGACTTACCTCCTTATTCTTAAAAATGTCAAACATCTAATTAAGCTATTTTAGGTTTTGTTACATTTTTTCTTGTGCTTTTCATTCTTTTATATTTTCATTCTAAAAAAATGTGATATAACTCCAATAGTTAAAATTTGTATGTTTTAATTTTTATGAACATGAAACCAATAAATATAGCTAACCAAAAGAGTCACAGTATCTAAGTATCTTATCAAGAGAAGGATCTACCACTGAAAATAAATGTTTTACTGAAGGAAACTGACATTGAAAAATGACAAAATTTAAAATATCCCATTTAAATAATGGCCATTGATTATGATTTTATTTTGCAGTATGACTTTTTTTAATGGATGATAGTGAAATGATGACCCCGCTGACACTATTGATATATGCTGGCGGAGCACCAGTAAATGAGAGGCTAGGATGAATGCAGATCGGTAAGGCTACTGATATATTCATCAAGAATTAACCAAGACATATAGATAATTTCTAAGGGGAACCGCGTGGAAATACAACTGATAGAGTATATTGCTAACACTGGAGTTGTTGGATCCCAATTACTAACATTCCCTTTTTTCTTGTAGTACGAGTTTATAATAAGAATACATACCCATTTGTGGGAGAGATAAATAACTTTCGCAATCCACAAGAAACTGCCCTTGCTGTGTTGCTCCAAGCGCTAGAATACGCTTAGTTAATAGTTCTATTACGTAGGTACCGGTTTTATGTTCCGGTACTGGGTACTGCTGTAACCTACAAAATAAGGCCTTATTAAAAAAAAAATAAACTTATGCGTTTTTAATTTTATTATACATTTAACTTACACTGTAACCCCCATTTTATACTATATTTCTACTTCAGTTTTCAATTTCTTTTTGCGGTTCGGTCGACAGTAAGGTTAAGATTTTCATTAAGTTCGTTCAATACAAAAACAAACCACAAAAATATAACGTTTGGTTTAGACAAATTTGATTTATATTAACTTTAAAGTAAAATATACCGTCTGGTATTATAAAAACTTATAAAATTATTTGTTATTGTTTTGGCTTGGCTTTAAGTAGCTGGTAGATTTTTTTCTTTCTGACAACCACAAGTCTGTCAGTGTCAACGTTAACAAGTCATAGCGATTATCAATGTCAACTTAAAATTAAAATGTATAGATAAAGAATATATGCATATTTTATGCATGGCAAGTTTGAATGAAGAAGGACATTGGCCAATTACAAACTTATTTTTATTACATTCAATGCTTTTAACCAATTACAATTCTAGATAAATTTAAAGGACAATGTTTGGATGTTGATTGGAGGAGACTGGACGTTGTCCGCCTTGCTGGACCAATGATAATTCGACAGATAACTATATGATCAAATTGACAAGTATTGGGGTCCTCATTATTTCTTGGCGTATTTATTTACATCGAACGAATTGATTTCGTCATTATTTAGTCGTATATGGACTTCTGTAAATTAAAACGTTTTTTTATTTATTGCGTCAGCTAAACTTCACCTCTTCTACCGTGGTTTTCTACGTTACAATTGTGTTTTCCGCAATCAATTTAATTTTTTTATCACATCACAATAATCACGAGTATAGCTGTTATCTAATACAAGTGTGTCAAATCTATGATTGGAAAATGATACCAGACAGTGTTACGTTGATTGTGAAGGCACCAAATCAACAAATTGAGGATCAGAACATCGAATGTCAATCGTCATGGACCGTGGCTCAGTTGAAAGGACATCTTTCCGAGGTTTATCCAAGTAAACCGGTGAGTTACAAAGTGCAAATTTGTGTTGTTATTGTATTGAAAGATCTGCCTATTTAAAGTGTTTTCATTTTAAATTCATTGCCTTTGAAATTAATATATTATTTATATTCTAAGTCACAATACTGCAGTACAGTTGAAGCTTTAATAAAAATCAATCGACAGGGTCAGTGGTCATTGTAACTCATTATTTATATCCTTGAACTTTGCAGCTTACTCTGTCACGCTTAGAGCAAGGAATTATGATGTTATGCTTTAGCACTACAATTATTTTAGTACTGTTATAAAATGTATGTTTATCCATTTAATTTACACCATGAATTAGTTAATCGTTTATGTCCCACCCAGCAAATTTGTTTATTTATTAATATCAAAATATTTTATTATCTTATCTAAATTTGTAATAAAATTACATAGATGTAATTAGAAGATAACAATTTAAATTCTAGTATCTTGGCGATTTTTTTTTTAATGGATGATAATGGAATGGAAACCCCACCCGTGCTATCGGTATACACCAGCGGGGCACCAGTGAAAGATGATAGGTGAGGATGAAGTAGGTCAGTTAGCCCATCGTGACGAATTCAACAAAAATTGTTCACGATGGTTTTCAGGGGGAACCACATGGATGTCGACCTAATAAGGCATATTGCTAGCAATGTGGCTGTCAAACTCCATTACTAACAATCCCTTTCCCCCCAGTATCTTGTGGATTATATTAAAATACATTTTTTATAATTATACTAGTGCTACTTGAAATTTTATCTCCTAAACTGTTGTATTAGTTTACTGGGATAAAAAGCAGCTTCTGTTCTTCTCTGTACCAAATCTAATGAAGACTGGTTAACCTGTAAAGGTACCAATAAGTAATGAACTCATTTTTTTATAAAATTATTATTAACTATCTGTTCTCTGTGACTTCGTCTGTGTTTTCGTTGTTTTTCGTAAAATAAGTAGCCTATGTCTTTCCTCACAGTTCAGTGCTTTTGATGTAACAGACACATTTCCCTTCACTGCTCTGCTCCTATTGATTGTAGTGTGATTAAAAGTATACTATAACCTGCCCAGGAGTATGAAGAATAATTGTACCAAGTTTCGTTAAAATCCGTCGAGTAGTTTTTGTTTCTATAACAAACATACAGACAGACAAAAATTTTACTGATTGCATTTTTGGCGTCAACTTAAATGGTCTCTTGTATATTAATAAATCAAGTATTGTTTTATATACAACTAATGTAAGGAACATGTCAGTAGTATAAAATAAATATGGCAGCCATAAACTGTAAAAAGATTACTTTTTATTTTTTTAAAACATATTTAAATCAGAGGGAGACTGTACAAAAGTCGATTGCTTGGGTACCTCTGTCCCATTCGTATTTCTACCGTGAAGCAGTTATGTTTGCATGGCTGTGTTTCGGTTTGAAGGGTGGGATATGGCAGTGAATTTACAGGGTACAGAGGAATAACACCTAAGTCCTCAGGAATGGCAACGCATGGGGGGTATCATGGGCGAAACTGTATACTCTGTTATGTCCATGGTACTGCTCATGTCTATAGGCGATAGTTACCACTTTCCATCAGGTGGGCCGTCAGCTTGTTTGCCATTCTAAGTTGAATAAAAAAAAATTGAAATATGAGAATACGAGGTCTGTCCGGAAAGTTCGTATAAAAGTGTTCTGGAATGCGAGAAAGAGGAGTGGGGAGGCCAGGTAAGCGCAGGACCCCTTCCTTATGTCCCTAACAATGCTTCAGTTCTGGTCTGACCGCCGTGCGGTGCGAACTGGCTTGTCACGCCATCTGTGAAGTTACCTCTTAACGAAACCCCGTCGGCATGGAGCCCGCTTCCGTTGAAGAGCAGCGCGTCGTAATCAAGTTTCTCTCGAAACTCGGCAAGAATGGCCGTGAAATTTTTGCCGATCTCAGAACAGTTTATGGGGATGATGCTGTGAAGGAACCAACCGTCCACAAGTGGCTAAAAAGATTCAGAGAGGGCCGAGAAAGCGTTCAAGATGACCCACGTTCAGGACGTCCTTCCACTTCACATTCCGACGAAAACGTGGAAAGAATTCGAACCTCCAGGCCAGACAGTTGATGGAAAATTCTACGTCGATGTGCTCAGACGCCTCAAAGCTCGTGTGGCACGAGTTCGTCCAGAATTGGCGCGAGAGGGGCGTTGGATTCTTCACCACGACAATGCCCCTGCCCACACCTCTCTTGTTGTCCGTGAGTTTTTGAGTAAAAATTCCATTACGGTGACCGAACACCCCCCCTATTCGCCGGATTTGGCCCCGTGTGACTTCTTCTTGTTCCCAAAAACCAAATTGGTACTTCGGGGGCGGCATTTGGGGGACATAAATGAGATAAAAAAAGCTACGACGGGGCAGCTGAGAAACCTACAACCAGAGGACTTTCAAGGAGCCTTCTCACAGTGGAAACGGCGTTGGCACAAGTGCATTATGTCACAGGGGGAGTACTTTGAAGGGGATAAAATTGATTTACCTGAATAATTGTAAAATAAAATTTTTAAAAAACTTTTATACGTACTTTCCGGACAAACCTCGTATTATTACTAGTTTTTATATGTTAATCAACAGGTTGTTATGGAAAGAAATAATGGTCACATTTTAATTGCAATTTTATTATTCCGTTAACTGATAAAGATTAGGGTTCACTTCCCTACAATATATTTATATATTACACAGTATATTTATGTACAGTACCCACACACAACATAGTTTTTTTATACAACTTAGAATGGCAAACAAGCTGACGGCCCACCTGATGGAAAGTGGTAACCGTCGTCTATAGACATGAGCAGTATCATAGACATAACAGAGTATACTGTTTCGCCCATGATACCCCCCACGCGTTGCCATTCCTGAGGACTCAGGTGTTATTCCTCTGTACCCAGTAATTTCACGCCATACCCCACTTTTCAAACCTAAACACAGCCATGCAAACACAACTGCTTCATGGTTGAAACAGGAATGAGTTTATCTTAACTTAAGGAAATAGGAAATATTTATGTTTTATTACTATAATAAATATGAAAATTTTTATGGATGGATGGATGAATGTTTGTTACTCTTTCATACAAAAACTACTGAACTGATTTGAATAAAATATGGTACATGGGTAGGTTATATCCTAACTTAGTACATGGGATACTTCATTTACCATAATATTATGATTTTTTTATTCAAATTTTGGTCATGGCTGTTTGAATGGTCCCTATGAGGCTGGCATAGGAGTGACTATGCCAGCCTCAGGGAATGTCTGAAATTCAGTCTGTAGTTCGTCAGGGACACCTTTACCCATAGATATAGCAGTTTTACATTTTTTTTTATGGGTGAAATTGGTATGGTAACCCCGCCTGCGCTAACTGTATACGCTGGCAGGGCACCAGTGAAGGGTGATAGATGAGAATGAAACAGGCCAATTAGCCCATCATGATGAATTCATCAGAAATTAGCCATGATAGTTTCCAGGGGGAACCGCGAGGAGGTCGACCTGGTTGGGTATATTGCTAGCAATGGAATTTTTAGTCTCCATTACAAACTTTCCCCCCAGCCGTTTTACATTGTGACTGGCAGGTTGACTCAGTATTTAATTGATATTACCATTATATAATGGCATATCGCCCAAAACAGCTGTTTCAGGTGTCAACTCTGACCACATTCCACCAGCAAATTTTAAAGGTTTTCCACTTTGTCACAATACATACAATTTGATGATTGTTTAATTCCTATAAGATGATAAAATTTATTAAGTGAAACATGGCCAGATTGCATCCTGACGAATTGAATACGATTTTGAAAGTCTTGTTGTTTCAAACCAGGGTATTAAATGAAGGCATTTGCTGTATAGCATAGTTATACCATATCCAGTTTGAACCTGAACAGTTTTCTGTTTAAATATACACAATAATGAAAATACTTATATAATACTGAATTTATTTATACAATACCAGTGACGACAATTACAATGCGCACTTTGCTATTTAAAACATAGTAGAAGCTTGTATGCGAGGTCTGATAACAAACAGTTGTTAGTTTTAATGAGTTACAATAACACCTTTTAAATGTATTGTAGTTAAAAACTATGTATACTTATAAAGTATAGGTATATATAATTTTATTTAAAGGCTTATTTGTTTAATTATTTACATCAAATTGTCTGTTTTTTTTTAATAAGTGATGATGAAATGACATCAGTCTGTTGTAAATGAGGATGAAAGCAGGTTTGTTGGCTCATCGTAATGAATTGAACAAGAATTAACTACCCGTAGCCATGTGGTCCTAGCATAGAATATTCCATCCCTGCCTTTCCAGTGGGTGTCTTTTTTTTTAATGGGTGATAATGGAATGGTAACTCCACCCGCGCTATCGGTATACACCGGCGGGGCACCAGTGAGGGATGATAGATGAGGATGAAGCAGGTCAGTTAGCACATCGTGACGAATTCAACAAGAATTGTTCATGATGGTTTCCAGGGGGAACCACGTGGAGGTTGACCTGATAGGGCATATTGCTAGCAATGTCGAACTCCATTGCTAACAATCCCTTTCCCCCCTTCCAGTGGATGTCATAAAAGGTGACCTAAGAAAGGATGAGGGATGAGCAGCAACGTCCCTCTTAAAACGTCTTTAAACCTGAACAGTGGTTGCCAATCTGCCTGCATGGCCACTACTGGCAAAACCATCCAAGAGGGAGGCGTATGTTCAGCAGTGAACGCTTAAAGGCTGATATTATGATGATGATAATTGCTCATAATGGTTTTTTTTTATATACAACTTAGAGTGGCAAACAAGCTGACGGCCCACCTGTTGGAAAGTGGTAACCTTCGCCTATAGACATGAGCAGTGTCATGGTTTTCAGGGAGATCCATATAGAGGTAATTCTGATAGGGAATATTTTACAATTTTTTGAAAATACTAATGTACAATTTTACCTATAGTACAAGAAGTGGTAATGATTTTATTTCCAACTCATATGTTTGATAGTGTAATATGTCCTTTAACTAAAACTTTTTTTTTTTATATAAATAATGTTGTCATAACAAAAAAATATATAAGATAAACTGTAGATAAGTGAATTCAGTTGACTTATCTTGACCTAGCACCACATAGATATATGTGTTAACTATAATGTTTGATGGACACTGAGTCAGTCGATTTGCATAATGTATGCTGTGTTCACTATGTCATCTAGATAACAAACATTACACTCATACATACACACCTTTTTCTGTGTACTTTCAGTTCACGCACACAAATGTAACTTTAATTTTATTTCTTTCGCCACGATTATCTATAATTTTCATGATATGCAAATAGTTTAGGTATCTGTGTGCACTTAATAGCTGGTTTTTTTTTTTAATGAATGATAATGGAATAGTAACCCCACCCGTGCTATCGGTATACACCGGCGGGGCACCAGTGAAGGATGATAGGTGAAGATGAAGTAGGTCAGTTAGCCCATTGTGACGAATTCAACAAGAATTGTTCACGATGGTTTCCAGGGGGAACCACGTGGAGGTCGACCTAATAAGGTATATTGCTAGCAATGGGGCTTTCAAACCCCATTGCTAACAATCCATTTCCCCCCTACTTAATAGCTGGTTGACATGCATACGCTAATTATAAAATGCATTAATATTTTTATAGGTAATTAATATGTATAGATAAACTAGGTGTATGCTTTCTGCATTGGCAATTTATTTATGGATTAAACACTTCAGCAATTTATTAATTTTAAATTGTTATAGAAATATAGTTAATAAATTAGATTTGAATGCCATGAACCAAAGTCACCGACATAGCCCGAAGGATAAGCTAGCTGAAGTGATAATGAGCTGTCACAAAGCTCAAAGAACCGACAACTGATTATGAAGAATGGTTCTTGAGTGGCGACCCCGTACGGCCAAACGCAGTGTAGGACGAACCCCCACTAGATGAAGTGGCGACCTAAAATACATTGCAAAGAATCAGTGGATGCAGGTGGATCAGGACTATTTACCTATTATTATTTATATTAACTATTAGTACATATTTATAAAAATATAAGAACCATATTTTTTATGATTTATAATTTTTTTTATTCATTAGCCGCCATATTGTTTTGTTACGTGACGTCATATGGTTTGAAACTCACGATAATACGAGCAGTGAGATAACACGAGTACATAACATCCATCAAATAGTTTTGCAGTTGAGAGCGCTTAAACAAGCTAATGTACGTATATGATAAACGTCAAATCAAAACACTTCTTTGTTACCGATTTTGTATTATAAATCCGATGAGGCTGGAAACATTAAATTTTTAATAATATTCTTTTATAATCTAGGTAGAGATTTTGAAAGAATTTCCCAAAATACACCTCTTTAAATAGAGATGAACACACAAATAGAGATGATGGTCACATAGCTCGAAGAACCGACAGCAAATGCATTGTAGGACGACCCCCAACTAGAAAAAGCAAAGGGAAAGGGATTGTTAGCAATGGAGTTTGACAGCCCCATTGCTAGCAATATGCCCTATTAGGTCGACCTCTACGTGGTTCCCCCTGGAAACCATCGTGAACAATTCTTGTTGAATTCGTCACGATAGGCTAACGGATCTACTTCATCCTCACCTATCATCCTTCACTGGTGCCCCGCCGGTGTATACCGACAGCACGGGTGGGGTTACCATTCCATTATCATCCATTAAGACCCCCAACTAGATGGACTGATGACCTCAAATCCATAGCAGGTAGCAGATGCAGGTTGCTCAGGATCTATGTCCAGCAGTTGACGCAAGCAGTAAATAATATTAATTTTCTCTTCTTTACAGAGAACAGACCAACAAAAGATTATATACTCAGGACAACTTCTAGAGGATAAAACAGTACTGAAGGATATACTTCGAACATATGAGAGCCAGATAGTGCATACTATGCACTTAGTGTGCACACCTAAAAGGAAAATGGCGGAACCACAAAAACCGGAACAAAGCACAGAGGGTTTAAGACACAGGACGGTCCCGGAGAACAGGGAGAACACAGAGAGACCGGCCGAGACGGCTTCCAGGCCAGAGACACGGCAAAACGACCAGAACCACACAGTCGAGATGCAGAATTACCTCAGTTCCTTTGTCAACAATTACGGCAGAGTGCCCCCGTACCCCAATTATAACTTCGGTGAAGGATATTTACCGGTGCCCAACGATCCGGCGTTGCTCGCGAATCACATGATGATGATGCAACAGGCGTATTTGCAGTATATGCAACAGTATGCTAACATGTAAGTAGATTCACTTTTCTATATTATTTTTAAATATATTATACGCCCACAAACATACTTGCTTATATATGTAATCGAGCATTAGTCTTACGTATTTCTGTCGCGAAGCAGGAACTATAAGTGCCACATGATCACTCCAATTGTCCTCGAATAATAGGGCGTAGTCCAAAAACCCAGACCCTGGAATGTCGATATTTTTTCCAATAGCCACTGCAATCTTATAACTTTGTTTTGCATAAATATGTTTTTTTTTATACAACTTAAAATGGCAAACAAGCTGACGGCCCACCTGATGGAGAGTGGTAACCGTCGCCTATACACATGAGCAGTACCATGGACATTACAGAGTATACTGTTTCGCCCAAGATACCCCCTATGCGTTGCCATTCCTGAGGACTCAGGTGTTATTCCTCCGTACTCAGTAAATTCACGCCATATCCCACCCTTCAAACCGAAACACAGCCATGCAAACACAACTGCTTCACGGTTGAAACACGAATGGGACAGAGGCACCCAAGCAATCGACTTTTGTACAAAGTCTCCCTCTGGTTGAAATAGATCTTAATTAGTATTATAAAATCACGTCATTAGCCACAATATTTTAATGGCGTACAAAATGTTTAAAGTCTTATTGTATCCAACTGTTCACTATTTCGAAAGAGAATTCGTCCTCACTCCCATTGAACTAAAGTAGTCACAAACTGTGGTGTTTCAGAAGAGTTTCTTCCCGTGAACACTCAGATTGCAGAATGATCTAGATCAGAAATCAGAATTATATATAATTGATTCACTTATAGTTCAAAAAGGCTTGCTATATAGGTGTTCCCTGGAGATTATACCGTGAAGTTCTTTGAAAAGGGCATTGTAAGGTTTCTTTAGGAGACCTCAATGTCAGTCATACGGCCATTATATCAGCCTTTAACAGTCCACTATTGGACATAATCCTTCCCAATAAGTTTTGCCAGTAATTGCTATGCGTGGCAGGCGGATGGGCAACCGCAGTTAGGTCTTTGAGGACGTTTTAAGAGGAACGCTGCGGCCCATCCCTCGCCCACCCTTAGTCGCCTCTTACGACACCCGCGGGAAAGGAAGGGGTGGCCTATTCTATGCCGGAACCACACGGGATACGGTACCATACGGCGTTAGATTACCGTAATCATTTGGTTACATACTTGTTTGAAACCATTGTAGGTAGTTGATACAAACTCGATTCAATCATTCACAATCGAAGTCCACAAGTTGAAGGCACGGATGAAGGTAATATAATGTAGGTGACAATAGTTGATACGCCACAAGGCCGCGCCACTGAGTTATCTAACTGTATTTATATTGTCATTGTCACTTTTTTTTTTTTACTGTCGTACATAATTTTTTTCCTATTTTCTTTTTCTCGCCTTGACAACTTTTAAAAAAATATTCTTATGTAAAAAATATATGTGCCCAAATGCTTTATAAAGCCTTTTTATACTATACACAATTTTACTTTTTAAGTTCAATGACGAATAACGAACAATAATAATTTTTCACGCGCCATAAATGTTCCTTTTTTTTTTTCAATAAACAGCTTTCTATTTGCAAGCCAGTTCGAAATTTAAATAAAATCTGTTATTAGTTACCTCCTTGGTAGCCATGTTTCGAAGTAAAAGGACATTCCATTTTTAAATTACAGGACAGATATGAGTTTACATAGTAATTTATCTAGCCGCAAAACACGACAGATATGGATTTCCATACAACTTTTGCCGGCCGCTGCCCGCATGTATCTGGCCAGTACGGCAATTTTGATTTATCTGGAAGAAGATTGTCAAAATAATGCTCACATTTCCAAGCATGTTTGAGAAAAATATGTTAACGTTGGTCCTCTGTAATAACTTCAACTAAGAATCCTTCAACTGACTCGCTTTGTTAATTCACCCATCTATCCTCTCAACATGCCCTAACCATCATCCTAATTCTAGTCACTTCAGATCTTTAAACCCACACCTGTCTCTAACAATGATTTCATTATTATGTCTACTTTTGTATCTGTCAAAGCAATAAATTTAAACAGATGTTTTATGTGTATAAAAGTGATGTCACCGCAATTATAATCACAAACGGCATCTATCATGCGACCTTGCTAGATAATTCATACGTTCTCCATATTAAGTATGATTATGTTTATTTCTCTATCAATTTTGTTTATACAACTTAGAATGGCAAACAAGCTTACGGCCCACCTATTGGAAAGTAATAACCGTCGCCTATAGACATGAGCAGTATCATGGACATAACTGGCTATGGCAGGCTAACGGCATACCGTGTGTCCAGGTGGCAGGCGTCGACGGCCGCGCCGGCCGCGCCGCCGACGCCGGCGCCGCCGCCGCCGCCCGCGCCGGCGCCGCGCGGTGCTCCGCCCGACGACGCCGACGACGCGCTGGCGCCGCGCGACTGGCTCGACCACCTGTACTCGGCGTCGCGGATGGCGATCCTGTTCTCGCTGATCTACCTGTACGGCAGCCCCGCGCGGCTGCTGCTCGTGCTGCTGCTGGCCGCCGCCGGATACCTGTGAGTGTTTACGCCAGATGATGCTCATAACAAGCAGCTATTTGTCAAAGAAGGAGACTCAGTTCGGTTACTTTTTTTTGTTACCACCTAACTTTGTCAGTTGTAAAACCGATTTGGATAATTCTTTTTTTATCTGAAAGGATATACTTACAGAGTGTTCCTAGAGTTTATTCAAAATCGACTCAATAGTTTAATTTTAAAATTAAAATAATTGGTTTTATCACAACTGAAGTTTTTTTTTATACAACTTAGAATGGCAAACAAGCTGACGGCCCACCTGATGGAAAGTGGTAACCGTCGCCTATAGACTAGAGCAGTACCATGGACATAACACAGTATACTGTTTCGCCCATGATACCCCCCATGCGTTGCCATTCCTGAGGACTCGGGTGTTATTCCTCTGTACCCAGTAAATTCACGCCATATCCCACCCTTCAAACCGAAACACAGCCATGCAAACACAGCTGCTTCACGATTGAAACACGAATGGGACAGAGGTACTCAAGCAATCGACTTTTGTACAAAGTCTCCCTCTTGGTTTTTTTTAACACAATTTAATTGTTACTAAAGCGAGACTGTATAAAGATTTTTTAAGAGATGATATGGGCTAGCGAGATGTCAGTTAGAGATAATAGGAGAGAATAAACCTAGATTGGATAATACATTGCAACCAATTCATCAGGAATCAACCACAGTGGTTTCCAGTGCTATTAATAGATGATAGATGGGGATGGCAATAGATTGTACTACTTACTAACCCCATGAAACTCAGTACCTAAGCTCGGGGACTTCACCCTTATGCACCATTCTCTTCAAAATTACACCACCAAAAGAAAATCCCTTGCGACAAATGACTACTTCTATTTACCATAGAATTTATTCTGTTTTAGCCACCAAATCGGCTTCTTCCGCGACTTTCAAATCAACCAAGATCAGATTCAGGCCAATCGCCGCAACGAGCCTCCAGCAGCCAACCAAGCGGAGGCAGCCCCGCAGGCAGCCGCCGGCCAGGGAGACGGGGAGCCGGAGGCTGCAGGAGAGGCCCCTCCTCCCCCCCAGCCCCAGCCCCAGCCCACCACCGCCCCTCAGCAGGCCGCCGCAGACAACGGTAACAACCAGTCTCTACTCGCGGTCACGTGGATGATATTCACATCGTTTTTCGCGTCCCTCATACCTGATGCCAACTAATGTTAGGCGATTTCAAACCTTATGTTAATATGTTTAAAGTACAGAGTAGATCGTTTGGCACCACATGTTCCATTGGTGGGAAATGTCGCAGTCAAAACTGTTAATCGGTCAAAGGTACTTTTGTCTAGAAAAAAAAATATTCTATTAATAATGTTCCGTCTTAATAAATCTACGTACTTTTATTTTTATCTTAAAGTGAAAAATATTGTTGACTGTTTTTGTTTGAAAGAGTACTATTCACCGACTTCAAAAAAGGAGAAGGTTCCCCGTTCAGTATTTTTTTTGTATATTTGTTACCTCATAACTCCGTCAATTGTAAACCGACATACTTTCAGATTGGTCCCAATTGAAATTTTATCAAAATGAGTTCAGTGGTTAAGTTTTTTTAATCTTAATAACACAATATTAAAATATTCTTAATTAATCATTCTTCTAGCAGTGAAGCTACTTTTGAGTATCATTTCACTAAAATTAGAAGCTCGCGTCACAGCCGCTCTTGACTGAGGGTCACGAATTGATTACGAAACTAGTCGAGCTTTTAGATCTAATTACACCTAAATTAAACCGGTAGTTATTATACCGGTAGTACCGGAAACTCCTAACATACATACATACATACATATCTGTCACGCCTGTCTCCCATTAGGGTAGACAGAAACAATGGAACGCCAAATGCTACGATTCAAACAAACCTCTTTCGCTTCCTCCACATTCATCAATCTTTTCATACACGCTCGCCGGTTACGGGTACTTTTAATTTGGCCCTTCTCCTAACAATAAAATGAAAAATACTTTCAACTGTTATTCGTACAGTCAAATGTACATTGTTTTTTTAATAAATGACTAATGTACTTTTGATTGTTTTTTCTTTTAGACAAACGTACTTTGACCAATTTAAGAGTGTTGACTGTAACATATACACAAAATTTTTGGTAGTTTTCGTACTACGAGAAAAGTTGAGTCATCTTTTACAGTGAACATGATTTGAATCTATGAGCCCAAAAAAAAACAATCTTTTTTTTTTTTTTTTATTGGTGTGTGTAAATAAGTTAAGATGCTATTTTCGTTTTCAAAATGGAAGGTTATCAATATAACAGTTTAGTGAAATTGTATTACGGAACTGATAAATATATTTTCTCAAACATACTTGGAAATGTGAGCATTATTTTGACAATCTTCTTCGAGATAAATCAAAATTGCCGTACTGGCCAGATACATGCGGGCAGCGGCTGGCAAAAGTTGTATGGAAACCCATATCTGTCGTGTTTTGCGACCAGATAAATTACTATGTAAACTCATATCTGTCCTGTAATTTAAAAATGGAATGACCTTTTACTTAGAAATATGGCTACCAAGGAAGTAACTAATAAAAGGTTTTATTTAAATTTCGAACTAGCTTGCAAATAGAAAGCTGTTTATTGAAAAAAAAAAACAAAGGAACATTTATGACGTGTGAAAAGTTATTATTCGTTATTCGTCATTAAACTTAAAAGTATAATTGTGTTTTTGATTTTCGCGCATTGTTTGAGAAAAATACTATACAAGCCTTAGCCACAACTAGGCATTGATGGACTCACGTATGTGTGCCTCGGCTATGCTTCGGCCCACATTTGCTTGCATCTTGGAATATGTTAAAAGTATGTTATCCAAATATAAATTTCTTTTATAACAAACTTTTAAAATATTCGTTATGGGCCCAGTACATAGATATTGTAACTAAAATATATAGATATTACTATATATTACCGACCTCTAAGTAACAGTGATAAAAAATGTGACCAGTGTAATATTTATGAAAAATTTAAATAACTGATTGTGGAAATTAATAATCTCTACTTGATTATGTAAGCATTATTTGTCTATGGTAAGTAAAAACCCCACAGTCGCTAATTATTAACACAAAATACCAAACAAATTGTGTATATATATATTGCATTATATATATATATATATATTCCATTCTAAATTGCATAAAAAAATTAAAATGTAGAGCAATTATCCAGAATAGAGGTTTCTGATTGATTACTACACTTAACAATCAAATTAATTCAAAATATGATATATGCAAAAAACTGTCTTAGGTACTGTTAGAACTTCATTGGTATTGTTGAATAAATATCTAGTTTGAGAGATAAAAAACTATCCGGGTTAATGCCTGTCTCGTCTGTACAAAATTTGCGGACGTATTTAATTTAAAAATGTAACCGACCCATTTTGATTTATAATTTTACAAGTACGAACTAAAACGGCCATTTTACTCGAATCATTTGTATTCTGTTTTTGTACTTGCCATGTTTAAAAAAGTTTTTTTTTTTTTTAATGAAATTGTACACTTAAAAAATAATATTAAATATTATAAATACTGAATACTAAAAATATTTTTATTTGTTTTTTAATATAAAGAAATGGCAACATTGTTTACTAAATGTGCAAAGTATAAAAATAGGTTATAATCAATTTTGTATTCCAAGGCAAGTCTATGAGGCATAACATTTTAAGTGTCTAATTTTAACGCATATACGCAACGTGCAAAACAGCTACAGTGGTAGGGTTATACAAAATGAATCATAATATGATTCGATTAAAGTGTCTATTTTGACCTCCCATAATTTGATATGTATGGATTCAATTAATGAAATCGTCGTACTGATGTCAAACCAAATACTAATTGTATATTAATTTAGATTTAGACAATTGTAATATAGTTTTTGTTGTTTATTTTGTGCTATTTAAAGTTATAAACGTGGAATAAATTATATAAATAAATGGATTTAAGTATATTAAAAGATACATGTTTGATATACAAATATATAACTGCAGAGGTAATAAAGCAAGCTTCATACAAAATTTGTCATTTCCGAATACACTATTCTAATGCTGGTGCCACACTTGTGTTTGTCGTCTCGAAGCAAAGCCTAAAAATGCGTATTACAGCATTAGCAGTTTAGCTAGTGAAATGTGTGATTTTGACTTAGTTGTAATAAAATACGCCAATATAAAGTCCTGAGAAAAGGGTCGTTTTGTATGACAATTTGTGATAAATAATTAGCGCTAATAATACGTTAACATTCTTTAATATACCACAAGCAATAATATTTATGTCTATTCGAGCTCTGTAGACGATCAAGCCGCCTGTCGAAGCATGCATTTTTTGCCGCTTATAAGAAAAAGGTAGTCTAAAATAATAACATGCTTAATTTAAGCTACTTGACCGTTGAAGGACTTCTTTATATTTGCGTATCATTGCGGGAACGTTCCGATCGACGCAGGTGTGATGCTCCAGCATAAGACATCTTTTAATTATTTTTATATTTAATATTGTCCTTCAAATAGTTCTTATAAAATTTTTATATAATATAATTGTATATAGCCATTTTAAATCTGTAGTTTAACGTGATTTTATTTCGCATTTTCATTAATATTCGCTCGCCATCAAGTAAATCGCTTACATACGTCGTAGAATAAATTGCGCTTTGTGAATTTTGAATAGCGTTAGTAGTATAATTGGGCTACTTTAGACTCGTCTTTAGCCAGGTTTTTTATTACTTTTAATTATAAATATTCACAGAGCGTTTTCAATATGGTACGATTCCGTAGAGTAAGAACTGTGGATGCTAAGCATGTAGCATTATTCTCTCTGGATTGGTATTGAAATATACTAAAAATATAGAAATACGCCGAACTGATGCGATGAGTAACGTCGGGATATAATTGCTCGGGCCCCTCTGTATCTTTTATATTATATATAAATTAAATAAAACTATAAGAATAAACAGAAATACCAATTTTAATCTTTTCTATGTGTGTCTATGCTAGATTACAAACCATAGATTAATAAAGTTTTATAAAGGGATCATACACTATCATTTACAATCTGTTACGCCTTGCCCCTGAATAATTGTGAGATGCTTTCTATCTCGTTTACACTTAGTCTCAACTTCAGACAGAATTTGCGATATTGTCACACTTTTAATAACTTAAATTTGTGAACGCACTTAATTTTATAATATTGATAGTAACCCTAAAGAAAACAAAGAGTTACTCCAGAGAAAGTAAGGAATGTGAGAAGACAGTGTTACCTGTTTAGCATATACAGTTCTACCACTCAACTGTTGGAATGTTTATTCTTAATATAGATAATAATATTTTATATATACAGAATATTTTCAAACTGTAATAATAAGGTGACTGATATTTATAACAACTGTTTTAATTACCGACGCTTAGTATTTTTTTTTTTTATTACTAAAGAAATTTAAAACTAAACGTCATACAAAGATCATCTGCATTTTGTTATGTTTAAGATTCGGATATTAAATTATAGTAGAATAAGAAACTTTTAAACTGACGACCGTTTGCGAAACGTGTAAAGTAACATTACAAATCCTCTGGATAGATACGTTTACGCTACCGCAAATAATAATTAGAATGAAACAGCATGTCTGACATCCCGTTCCTAACCACGCATAAAATAGTTTCTGGATAACTATTTTAATACTATTATATAATATAATACTATTATAAAATTGGCAACGGTGGTTTTTGGAGTATACAACATTCACGAAATGCCAAATATAAATTACTGTAAATTAAAATACTTAACAATCTCTCTGCATTATATATTTATGTAATATTCAATGGGATAGATTTTGAGCCACAGAGTTTCAATTTGAAATCACAGCAAAATCTTTTTTCTAAATTAAACTGAATTTCTAATAGATCGTAAGTCACAATTATAAATTCAGTTTATAATGAACCATAAAATAGTAATTTTGTGAAACTATCAAATTAATATAATAGTCTAAGAGAAATGGTGTCTCAGAATCTAACACAATGGCCCAATTCGAGTTCACCAAGCTACTTATGACACCAAGGTACTTGTGACATTAATATTCATTGATTCAGTTCAGTTTGCATTTCTAATTTGTTTTACAAGCAGGTACTGTTACCGTAACTTATTTTGTTCTATATTTAACAAAATAAAATATAAACTCTTAACGCCTTTTTGTCGAATTAGTAATATCAAAATAAGATATATAGTAATATGCAATAATACTGCTTCTTGTATGAGGGTGGCGCCCTCTGATGTTAAAGATTTCAAGACCGCTTTTATTAATAACTGGACTTTGTTTAAGTAATCAGTTCTTTTGTATTTCTTTAATAAACCTCCTATGAAACCGTAAACAAGCAAAATGTCGTCATTAGAACAGTTTCTGAAGCATGTTATTTATTAATGATTACATACTGTGATAAGTTACTTTGTTCACACTCACATAAATAAAACATGAAATGTGTTTATGTGTTTTATTTAATAATAATAAATATATTATCCCAACAATTTAGAAGTCATCAGTGAAGTCAACATCCATTAAATCATCAAAATCATTATTTTTACCATTTCCCTCGGTGCTATTCCTTGATTTCTCATTTTTATCATGTTCATTATTTATTGTTTCATTGTCATTTATTTTCTCAATTTCATCATTAAAATGTTCATCTGAGTTTATTACTTTATCATCGTTGATATGTTTAACTAAATCTTCACTGACTAAACCATCTGTATTATCCTTTGAAATAATATTCTTTTCCGTGAAACTTATCATGTTATATTTCTCTCTATGTTCAAATGTGTCATTATCTACTACACCTGTTTGCATATCAGATAATCTTATATCACAATTAGAAATACCTTTGTCATTAGAAATCACATCAGCATTTCTATTTTCATTATCAACAATAGCTCCATTATCATTTTCTCCAACAATTTCATTATTACTTATTATAACATCGTTACTACCTTTTTTTGTTATTACACTATCTACGTTTTCATTAATTATATTAGAATCATTACTCACTTCATCTAGCATTTGAATATCATCATTGATTGCTGTAGAATCCTTGTTAACAGAAATGTTGTCTTTACTTGCAGTACCTATCTTCGTATCATTTTTATCATTATGTATATCAACTGCTATTGACTGATTGACAACTACTTCGCATTCGTCATCTGAACTATCAATCACATTTGATCTATTATGCTTCTTTTTTCTAGGCTCATCTTCATCAGCACCAGTGATTCCTTCATTTGCAAAGTCATTTTCAACAATAATAGGTTCGTTATTAATATCAGAAGAATCTGAATTATTAGTTGTATTTTTAATTGAATAATCATCAACAACTACAGGCTCTTTGTTGACAATTGCAGCGTTATCGTTTTTATTTATAGTATTTTGAAGCCTAGCAAGTCTTCTTTCTTCAGCCAGTCTTCTGTTTTGAAGCATCCTTTCCTTTTGTTCATCTGTTATTGACGGTGAAGAAACAGCTTTCGGCATAGTAAGTGGTGATCTGTAAAGTAAAAAAAAACTTGTTGATTGATAAATTGTTAATTTGCGATGCACCTAAAGGAAAATATGTTGGTTGAGGAATATTAATCAAAGAAATATTCACTCATACTAAATGTATCTGCAATCAGCTATAATACCTTTTTTTGACATGTAGTAGAAATGTCTTGATTTCAACTAAAAGCTGAGATAACAAATATAATAATTGGGAGTATAGTAAACTTGTTTTCTAGCAATAAAAAAATTCCCAATAACTTTACATAGCAAAGTCTCGTTTACATGTCAAGCCTTATCCTCACGCTAGGTTACCTTGTAATATGAGAAATTAGGCAACAAATATGTGAGGGCATAACACAAAATGCCTAAACTCAAGCTATTTCAGAGAAGTTTGGTTCCTAAATTGGCCCAACCTGGAATCGAACTTTGAGCCTCATTCATGCAAAGTAATGTACCCGCCACTGAGGCACAAAAGTTTTATATACAGACCTAAAAGTAACCTGGACCTGGAGTAAAATTATCAATATTACTCCATAGATATATCTCACATACATATACTAGTCAATGCTACAGGCACTACTTACCTCTTATCTACTTTTGTTGCACTGAACATCGGTTTTACAGAATTTGCTGTTGGTGTGGACCTAGCCAACTCAATCTGCTGCTGTAGAAGTTTATCAAACTCATCCTCTTCTGGCGCAGTTGGAGCTTCCTCATCACTGGAGTCTCTCTGTACAACTGTCTCTTCTGTTATCAATTGATCTGATCGGATTTTATGTAAATGCACCTAGAAACATTATAAACATATTCATTGCTAGTAAATAGATGTATTTTAGCAGGTAACTATGGAAAATTTTTAAGTATAATAATGATATATATAAACTTTTTCCTTTCCCATGAGTGTTGTAACAGGCAATTAAGGGTATTATTATTGAGATACAGGCTTTTTCAGACAGAAAAAACAAGGGTAACCTAATGGTCAGAGGATGGGGAGCAGCATCCCTCTTAAATGCAAAGTATGACAACTACTGGCAAAACCTTCCAAGGGGGAGGCTTATTCAGAAGTGGACAGTTAAAGGCTAGTACAATGTTGATGATGAATAAGATTACAAATGAAAGTAGGCATACCATAACAGGCCTCTTTTTGCCAAGCATCTCAATCTTCTTCAAACAGTCTTCAAATTCAAACTTTGGGTACAGTCTATAAGCCCAATGCTCCAGTTTCTTTAATACCAAATCCAAATCTTCTTTCTCATGGCCGTTACCTAGAAAATATTTAATTTTTCAATTAAAAAAAGAATGATTATAATTGAAGAGCTACTTCCACAAAAAACATTAACTTTAACGGTGGTAAAAACAGTTATTTTGATTTAAAAACAAAACTTCTAAACACATTTTGATAACATTTCTATGGGCCCAATATCAATTTATATACTACTAAATAAAAAAAAAAAGAATTTTCCAAATCAGTTTCTAAATAAGACTTCTGAAGCAACAAAAAAAAAAATAAATAATAAATTTTAAATAAAGAAAAGGATATATTAAATACACAATGGGAAAATTCAGTTAGGAACCTTCTTTTTTGAATTGGGACCTTTATCACCACATGGATGTTCTTTTTATCCAAAACAACCCACGGCCGCTAGGCTGTGCCCACCTTAGAATTGTTGGGTGTCTACCACAAGATGCAAACAAAGCTTACTACAGACATGCCTAAGAATACATATGCCGTTTTTTAAGGAGCCACACCCCCTCTGGTAAATAATCTTAAATATACCAATACAATCAATGCATGTGTAACAATACAATGTATTGGAACTTAAGTACATTGTTAGATGAACATAAACTCAATATATCCAAAATAGGACTCACCACTACATTAAATTAATACATTAAAATAATAACAATTAATATTTTTAGAAAAACAAATTAAATACAGTCAAGGAAATAATTTATGGCCATTATGGCCACCACAAGAAAAGTAATTTTGAAGTTTTTTTTGGGTCCAAGTGTTCTATGTCATGTCTCCAAATGTTTATTTCCTAGTTGCTCATAATGCTAGGTATTCTATCTTGGAAACATGACAATTGGTGTAATTTTGTGGCATTTATTATTCATTCTGAATTGTTAGAAATTTTTAAACAATAATTAAATTTAAATTTTAACCTTTAAACTTAAAATCCTTAAAATGTTCTGGAATAACCTGTATCCCCCTGGGACCAGTCAGCCGAGCTGGATTCAAAATGAACCTGGGATTCTTAATAACTCTCTTTGTCTTTGCCTTTGTAGGATCAACACGCCTTTTATCTTCCACTGGAAATATTAAAAAGTATAGATATTATAGACAACATATATACATATATTATATGAGTGACACATTCTGTTATGGTCAGAGTACTGTTCACATGGGTCTTTGGTGACGGTTATCAATTTCCATAAGGTGGACCATCAGTTTATTTGCCATTCTAATGTGCATACAAAAATTGTTTTTACCTGCTACTTTATTACGCAAAGATTTCAGAAATAGGAAAACTCAAAAATAAACTATTACTAGATGGTATATTATGGTTAAATATACACTAGACTTTAAGTATCACAACTGTGAAAATCATATTCAATTCGTTTAAATGTGATGATCCGAAATAAACATACAGACATAATTCCTATAAATTATTAATAGAAGACCTATAGCTCTTAATAAGAACCCTCGTAAATTTTTCTCAATTATATCCCATGTATATAAACGTGAATTTATCATCCTTGGCGAACTAAAACGAGTTGTTTAAATAAAAAATATACCCGCTTCGTCCTCCTTTTCACTATTACTGTCGCTGTCTCTGGAAACTGACTGCGGCCTTTCATCATACTCATCGCCCTCGATAACACGTTCCAACTCCTGGGCTTCACCAGCTTCGTCCTCTAAGAAAACATCTTCAAGGAGCGACATAATGAAAATTGGGTGAATTAGATACACAAAAATTACAAATCATTAAATCTCGTAATAACTATTTTTGTAATTTTGATAAACTATTTTAACAATTTTTCAATATCATGGCTCTCTAGGGGCTTCAATAATTTATAACACAGATTAGAGACAAATATATATTTATAAATATTTTATTTTAATTTTGACATTATTTTTAGCGCGAAAAACATAGAGTAGTATAAGAAAGGAACGTAACATCTACTTTCTTTTTCTTTAGTGGCATTTGGTGACAAACGTATTATTTTTATATAGACATTAATCACTACGATATGGCAAGGGTGTCAATGAGAGGCCTTAAATCAAGGAAACCTGGAGAAAAAAAATCAAATACATGTTACCGTTCCAAATTAACAATACAATAATAATTAAAAACCTAAGGACAAGAAATTACATAGAACGAACAATAAAATAAAAACTGTAAATAATATGGTTACCTCCTTTCTTCTTGGCAAATATAATTAGTAAAAAGAGGATAAAAGATGCAGCATCAGTTGCTATTTTTCTCAATTTATACCAGGCTAGTGTATGAAAATGTTTTACGGCCGTATAACCCTACCAAATTCAAATACAACCTGCTTGCATACTTTCTAGATAAACTGTGTCGAATATATAATTTAGGAATGTAAAATGTGTTATTGTCAAATAATTAACATATCAAACATTTTCTATACGCTAACCTGCTAGGAATTAAGAAAAGTAGCAATTCATGGTGTATCTTTCGTCCTCTTTTTACTAATTATATTTGTATAAAAAGAAAGGAGGTAACCATATTATTTACAGTTTTTATTTTATTATTCCTTCTATGTAATTAATTGTTCTTAGGGATGATAGTAATACTATCAGTTTATACACAATGGAAAAGGCAAAGCAAATACGCTATAGATTTATATGAACTAAATAGAGAAAAAGAGATTGTACAGTAGGAGGTAATCCATGGATTTCGGAAGGAAAAAGGGATTGTTAACAATAGAGTTTGACAGCCCCATTGCTAGACTTGCTCCACGTGGTTTCCCCTTAAAACCATCGTGAACAATTCTTGTTGAATTCGTCACGATGAGCTAACTGACCTACTTCATCTTTATCTATCATCCTTCACTGGTGCCCCGCCGATAGCGCGGGGGGTTGCTATTTTATTATCACCCATAAAAAGAACCATGGATCTTATTTTTAATTAATGGCAACAAGTCTATCGTGGTTCTCTATCTATATAATAGTTAATTTCTTTTTAAAAAGTCAATGCAATTCAGCAGACAAATAACAAAAGCAGACAATTCTCTGATTTACTCAAAGATTAAGGATAGTATCTACGGATCCGTCTATATAATTTAACATGAGACTTTATTTCATGATTCTAATCAAAATAATTGGGGGGAAAGGGATGGTTAGTAATGGAGATTGATAGCCCTATTGTTAGCAATATACTCTATTAGGTCGACCGCCACGTGGTTCCCCCTGGAAACCATCGTGAACAATTCTTATTGAATTCGTCACGATGGGCTAACTGACTTGCTTCATCCTCACCTATCATCCTTCACTGGTGCCCTGCCGGTGTATACCGATAGCACGGGTGGGGTTACCATTCCATTATCACCCATCAAAAAAACAATCTAAATAATTAAAGATCAAAGATAGTGGACAAGTAGAAAATTTTTGTTTCACATAGATTAAGAATATGTGGATTCGACTAAATTTTGACCGTTAGTCATTGTCTTTTTTCTAAATAGTAGTATTGATAATTATAAATTTTCCATCATACAATTGTAATCTGTTAGAATAAAAAAATTCGTTTTATTTTAAAATTAACGAATTTATATTTTTTTTTCATTTGGCAATTATATTTTAGAAACTGGCCACTCTGTTCGAAATTATTTATAAGAATAAAAAATTTACAAATGCTGCAACACTATGGAATCACGTGACCAGCTTGCGTTTGAGAGCGCATTCACAGGTATGGGAATTAGCAAATTTTATTTAAAAATCAGTTATAATTCGGATTTATATTAGAATTAAGGTAAAAATTGGAAATTATTCTCCAACGTGTGATGATGTGCGTGTAAATGAGGTGTAATATGGTGTTGTGCACGGTTATTTCATCAACAAAGACTGTCATTTTGATACCAAGAAAGGTGCTTCAAGAATGGCGTCCCCACATGTGCCGCTGGCCTACAGAATTTCATCTTGAACGTGTTGAAATTTGATGACGTGAGCGCTTAAAATGCCATGAAAAAGTGGATCTGTCGGATTTTTGTCAGGGTTCCAATGGAAATCGGCTCGCTTTCTTCGCAATTATATTTTGCCCTTGCCATCCGCCTGTAATGAATCATTGTCCTGATTTCGTCGAAAAGTAACTAAATATTTCCCGTATTTCAACAATCGTAACGTTATAAAAGTCTTCTTTCAAGTATTTGTCATTTTATAGGTTTTCTTTTAATTGTAGAAGTAGCAAAATGTGTTAAGACCCGCCCAAATGTTTTGTTTACTAATTTACCGCTTTCCGACGCTTTTATTTAATGCGAAGCATTTTATCTGATTTATTGTGAGATTGTCAGTATTAGAGGACTTCTCAAGGTTTGTAAGTGTTTGTAAATTGATTTATATCAAGAGACTAGGTAATAATTAAAAATTTAGACTAGGGTATTCTGCTGCTAAGAAACAATTCTTGTTTTAATGAAAGTTACATACAAATATACCTAGTCTTCCATGTTATTAGATTCATTAGAATTACCAGTAAATACATTAACCTGGTAGTGTTTCCAAAAGTGAGGAAAAATACAAGATACAATTTTTAAAGTGTATATTGTCATAATTTGAAGTTCTAATAAAAGTTTTTGACCCTAATTTGAATGAGATTTGGTACACAGATGAACCATGTTGATCTGTTATCAATTGTATTTTTTCTATTTAAAGCAGATATTACTGTAGGATACAGTTAGTTTTGTTTACATTTTATATAATTTTATATTACACATTTACATATTACACATATAAATACACATTTGATAAATTTTACATAATTCTTTTACAAACATATATTAAATAAAGATTTGTAATTTCAATTGTAATTGTAAAGTTCAATCCAAGATTTGAACACGCTATATAAAATTATAAACGCAAAGTGGGATGCTATCGATCTATTAGGCCATGTTCCGTTTAAAACAGAAGGTAATAAGAGAATATTAAAATTATTTCATGTACCTTATTGTAATAACAATGTAACTTTTAATGATCCTCTCTTCCGTATGTGCAGACTGTACAATAATTGTAATGAATTGGACATTTTTGCTTATAATTTAAATTCTTTTCTTAAAATGGCAAAAGAAGTGTCTGAGTTTAATATATAATTGTTCTCATTTTCTATAGTTATTATATATAATGTTGAATCTAGTATAAGCTAACGCTGTGCGTAGCAATTAATGGTATACAATTTTAAAACAATTAATTATAAAATTCATTATATTTAATTTAATGTGAATTGTAATACTGTTGCTGTGCCCAAATAAATAAATAAATAAATAAGTAATATACAATTAATACAGGAAGTAATTAAGATTTCTTAAGTCTACTTAGTAACTAATTAGTGAACTAAAATTACATATAAAAGCAGTTGGTACAGTCAAATAGCTTAAATATGCGAACATTATGAAGGTTAGATAGTTAATGACAATTATTTGTAATGAAGTTATGACTCCATACATAATTGAATCAATTATATTAATTCAAGCAATAAAGTATCTTCATGTTAGGCCTCTAAAAGTGAAGTCAGAGAAAGGTAACTAAAAATATTATGTAAACTATATTTATTTTTTAATATAAGTTACAATAACAATGTAAAATATTCACTGTATTTACATTTTATTTATGTTTTTTGTTTTTATAATGTTTTGATATTAATTGTGATGAGGATGACAGTACCGGGACCCATATAACATGAGCTGTGCTAATATCCCTCATTCTATTATGGAGACAAATAACATATGGTTTGTGTTTAAAATTGAGAGCACTCATGCCAAAGTCTCTGATGGGGGTAGATTAAATTTAGTATACCATGAGTAAGAAACAAGTTTGCACATTCAGTGCTAAGAAAACCATATTTGCTATGGCTCTGAAATTCTAGGACTCGTATCTGAATGCTTGTTTGCTGCTATAGTAATATAAAAAAAAAATATTTACAGGATATAATTTTGTCATAACAAAATTTTTGCCCGCACTTTGGTTGGGATAATTTAAAATTATATATTCTTATCACATTTCTGAAAAAAATATTTGTATCTTTCCACATCTACTCTTACATACATGTACTTATGGAAATTGTATTTTACATCCCAGTTGCATACTTTCGAGAATGACCTTGAACTTTATTACTTTTAATAACCAATTTTGATACTTTTGGTGGACTAACTGTCTTTATGCCAAGTCCCTTATGAGATGAGCAGAGAGGCCATGGTGTCAAGGACCTCCATCTTTACAAAAATTCCTCACTTCATCCACTTTTATAACTTTCATGTATACATGCTAATTCCAGAGATTTTTTTCAAGCAGTTTCTCTGTTCATTACATAGTAGATTAGATCCTTCCATGGTTCCTGCGTGGGGATAAGGAATCATATCATACTTACTTAACCATATATTTTAACATAACATTTATTTTCTTATGTCAACATAATATAGGCATACAAATTCATTGTTTACTCTTTTGTAATGGCATGTGTAAACTTGTTTATTTGTTGATTATGTTATCAGCATTATGCATTTACTATCATTGATGATTACATTAAATAATTAATGGATTATTTACATATGTGAAATGTTCTAGTAAACAGTTATTTCTATCTAAACATTTCAAATAATAATCATAGTTTTTGTTAGATGTACCACTGTAACACACAAAAGTAATGTTTTCTTATCTGTTAATTGGCCTCTAAAAGAAGATTCTCACACAGTTCTACTTTTGTCTATGGTTGTAATATTTTTCTTTTCTTTTTATCATTGTGGTTAGGGAAAATGTGTGTGGTATTTATGCATCACCTCTGAAAGTCAGTTTCATTGTTAGTTCTTTTTTTTTCTTTTATATTTATTTAATCTTAACATTTAAAAATCTCATATTACATTTATTCACATTAATCTCCAAATCAGCTGAGCTGTTTTTTTTTATATAATGTAAACAGTAAAGTCTTTACATTTGTAAGTCTCCAGTTA